TCTTATGAGGAATTTTTTAAGATATATATCACTTTTTTAAAATTCTCATATTTATTTTTTAAATATTTCTTTATCTTTGAATTTTTTTTATAAATTTTATCATCAATAGTTTACCCAATCTCCTTTCAAAATTTTAGAAACAACTTTATATAATTATCAAGTGTTCGCTTTTCCTGCAGTTACTGTAGACTTATCTGCAGTAAACCCAATATGACGTCATTTTGGAGCGAAAATCATGGTGTTTTTGTAATTTTAATTTATTTCAGGGTTATTATAGTCTTTATATTTATAATTTTTAAGATTTCAATACCAAAACGACGTCGTTTTGAGAATAAATACAGATAACTACAGAAATATTTTTCCCTAATTATAAAGACTATTATAACCCTGAAATAAATTAAAATTTCAAAAATACCATGATTTTCGCCCCAAAACGACGTCGTATTGGGCTTACTCAGATAACTTATATACAGTAACTGCAGAAAAAGTGAACCCTTATAATTATAATTTTTTAATCTTTTAATCCTAAAACAACGTCGTTTTGGAAATAAATGCGGATAACTTCTCTGCATTAACTGCATAAATATTTTTATGAATTATCAAATAACTTTTAATTTTATTTTTTAAGTTTTAATTTTTAATTTTAACTTAAAAATAATTTTGTTTAAAAACAATGACGACAATCGTGCTCTAAAAGACATAAAAAACATTTGGTAAAGGAGAAAAAAAATTTATCTAGGAATTACGATTGTCAGGAATATGGTGAAAAAGTGAGTCTTCCGAAAATGTTAAAAAAAAATTATTTGGTAGATCAAAATATTACCGAAAAAACTAAACAAGGTAACTGAGTCTAATATTTGGTTAGTGATAAAATATTACTAGGAATATACGATGAATTTACCAAACTAACCTTAACTTTTCAAAACAACAAAATTGAATTACAATTCTAATGGAGGGTAATTTTGTCTGAAAATTCACTCCACATAATTCCACCCACCAAGATTCTTGAAATTCCATGTTTCTTATGGCATTATTTGTTGGGATGTTTATTTGTTAATTCAAATTCAAGGAATGTAATGTTTTCAGGATAAATTTTAAAATTTCTCCTATCAAACATGGCGAAATTCGCTTTCCTGGGAAATTTTTCTTTTATTTATCTCAAGCAACTTGAGATATATTTATCTCCGTTCACCTAAAAACTACGTCGTTTTGTTTATTTATTCCTTTATATTAATTGATTCACCTTTGAATGGTTATGATTCATTTTTTCTTTCTCTTTCTTTATCACCATTGATCCATCCTTGCATGTAGGGGTGCTAAACGAGCTAGGGGCCTTACATGGGCCTTTGGCTCGGCTCGTGAAGGCTTGAGCTTTTATGTCTAAAATTGATTGTTGGAAGCAGGCTAGGACCTGTATAAAAGCTCGTTTAATAAAAAGGTCTCATGCTCCAATTTAAAAGCTCGGCCTTAGAGCCTCTCAGGCTGGCCTAATATATTAATTTTTATTTTTATTTTATATTTTTTTAAACTACTTGTGATAGCCCCCCTCTCTCTCTCATCAATCCATTTCATCCCAATTTATTAAGAGTAAAGACCATTTTTGATCCCTAACAAAAATAAATTAGTCAGCTAGTCCCTAACAAATTCATGGTGGACCCATTTTAGTCCTTTTAAGCTAATGTGGGTCTTTTTTGAATTTGTGAGGGACCACGATTTCAACTAAATGGGTCCACTTTGAATTTGTTAGGGACTAACTGACTAATTTATTTTTGTAAGGGACTAAAGTGAGGACCGTGTTTTTTGTTAGGGACTAAAAAGGGTATTTACTCTTTTATTAATTATACAAACTTTTTGAATGATTTTGTTTTATATTATGCTATTTGGATATACATTAAATTTATGAATATTTATGGAATTACTAGTGTTGTTGATTGTATATTTTGTTTGGATAAATTTTTGTTGTCTTATTTTTTTTTAAACAGGCTAAATCAGGCTTTAGTTTTTTGTAAATAAGACAGGCCACAGGCTGAAATTATATTCATAACAGGTAACAGGCTTGGTCAGGCTGACACATTTAAACACAGGCTTAACCTTTTAAGACCAAAGCTCGGCTCGGCTCGGCCCGTTAACACCCCTACTTGTATGGTTATGATTTAGTAGCCGGAGATAAAATTATCTCAAGCAACTTGAGATAAGGATGTTCATCAACCGATCCAAACACATTCAAACTGCGGTGACCGAACTGAAAAACCGATAACCGAATAAATCAAAAACCGAAAAAAAATCACAAATTTTAATTGGATTGGATCAATTTTTGGATTGTTGATGAACACCGATCCAATCCAAACCGACAAATATATTAATTTTCCTCTACGTACTTGGGTATTTCCCCAATCATAGCTTAAAAATTTCTATACCTAAGACCTATTAACCCATCAACTAAACCCAAGAAAAAATCTAGTCACATCTTATCAACAAAATTTCATATGCGTAGAGCTTCATATCTCATTGTCCAAAAAAAAAATTAAAGTATCGCTTACTGATGTTTTTGTATTTCAAAATAAATAAATTATAAAGTCAATATATACAAAAGATGTTATTTGCACAATAATCATGAAACAAATTTTAGGATTTTCAAAAATTCGAAAACCGATCAATACAAACCGAAAAAAATTGGATTGGATTAGATCAAATTTGAAAAAAAATCCAAATTGAATGGATGATTACATGATAAGGCCGAAGGAATTGGATCGAATAATTTTTGCTTCCAAAATTGATCCAATCCAGACCGCGAACACCCCTAGTTTGAGAAACGATAAGCCTTGTATATAAATATATAAGAAAAATATAATGCAAATAAGTTGTCTTCATTTACTCCCAAAATAACGTCATTTTGGGATTGAAATATTAAAAAATTATAATTATAAGGACTATAATAACCCTGAAATAAATTAAAATTACAAAAATATCATGATTTCCGTCCCAGAACGACGTCATATTGGGTTTACTGCAGAAAAAACAAACTATATATCGATATGGATTAACATTTCTCCAATTACTTGAAATAAACTTATCTCAAGGTACAGTTGAAGTTGCCTTTTATGTTTCTCTTTCTTCAATCACTTTTCAAAACTTGTTTGCTGCTGACGTGAAAAGAAAAATAAACTTTAATATTATAACTATATACTACCCATAGCATATAATTAAAAGAAATAGTTTAAAATAAGTTTATATGAAATAGTTAGAAAGTTTTTCATATATATATGGGTTTGATGTTTGTCATTTTAAATGACATAAGTTATGTCATTTTAGGAGAGAGATAGACACAGAAAAATAGAAATAATGGGAGAGAGAAAGTGGATGGGTTTTTTTAATTTAAAATTTAAATAAAATTTGTTTTTTTGTGTCTGTCTTTCTCTTAAAAGGACAGAGTGTTATGTCATTTAAAATGATAAACATTTTTCCCTATATATATATATATATATATATATACTTTTCCATATATATATATATATATATATATATGAGGTTTGGTGTTTGTCATTTTAAATGACATAAGTTATGTCATTTTAAGAGAGAGACAGACACAAAAAATGAAAATCATGGGAGAGAAAGTGAGTGATTTTTTTTAATTTAAATTTTAAATAAAAAATATTTTTTGTGTGTCTATCTCTTCCTTAAAATGACATAATTTTATATCATTTATAATGACAAACACTTTTCTATATCTATATCTATCTATCTATCTATCTCTCTCTCTCTCTCTATATATATATATATATATATATATATATATATATATATATATATATATATATATAAATTTTGACGTGTAAGTGCAATTACTCTAAGGGGGTGTTTGGGTAGAGGATTCTAAGAAGATGCATAGACATTTGAGAGCTGGGATTAGTGAGTGCCCATGTTTAGTTGAAGCTTTTTGAAGAAATGCCCACCTAAATCATTATCCCATCTTTACAGTTTGCATATGCTTCTAATCCAAATACCCAGCAATACTTTCCCATTTGTGATGTGGTATATTATGTTATCTATATAAATCATCAAAATGGGCAAGACACATATGACCAGCGTACCCTCCTCTTAAAAGCAAAACCTGAACCGCGGTTCGTAGATTTCTAAGATAAATCAGATGCTGCCATAGAATCGACACCAACGTGTCAATTCTTAAACCAGAGACAGACACTAATTCACAAGTAGCATCAAAATATTAGAACTTTTTTTATCCAGCGTGTCAGGGTTATTTTTGTAATACCCACTGTATTTACCCATCTATATATTACTTACTGCCAAACATAGACTTTACAAAAGTTAACTAATTTTTCCTGTAAATTTTTTTTCAACCAAACAACTTTTTCTTACATTTTCCTACCAATCTCACTTTCCACCCATTTCCCTATGCATAACATTTCCATATGCATAGACTTTACAAAAGTTAACTAATTTTCCCTGTATTTTTTTTTTCAACCAAATAACTTTTTCTTACATTTTTCTACCAATCTCACTTCCCACCCATTTTCCTATAGATAACATTTCCCTATGCATAACATTTTCCTATTATTCATAATATTTCTCCTCAACCAAACCCCCCTAATTGTAATTGCTTAAGTTTCCTCGTCGAATCCCCTTTCAGCGGTTCACCTTGACATCATCACTCCTTTTCTCTATTGTTTATGTCAGTCAAATGAAAAACTTTATTGCACTGGGCGCATCAAATTCAATGGTCCTTTAACTAAATTTTCTTTTTTTTTTAGAACTTAAAAGGAAATATTAAAAAGCATGAATAAAAACTATATTTTTTTTCTCCTTTTAGTAAAAGTGACAACTGAGTTTGGTGATCCGATGCACTGAAATTTTATTCACCATAAATAATTTGAATTTTCATTAGATTTAAGGAACAACTGTAATTTTTTAAAGGAGTTTATGTTTATTATTTTATATAACATAACTTCACTTTCCTACACACATTAAAGAAGTGGGGTCCACATATTTTTCTTTATCTTTCATCATTCCACTTTCTCTCTCCCTATTATTGTGTGTGTTGAAAAATCCACTGTCACGTAACATTAATAAAACTCTTTTTTAAAAGTAGATAGAAATCCAAAATAGGTTTCAGGCGCGTAACAGAGTAAAAGACGCGGTAAACTATCTTGTTGCGCAGTAGCAATAAAAGTGGCTTACCCTTGCTCGAAACGCACTCGCTCCTCCTTGCTGTCATTCCTGAACAGCGTCACACACAATCACCTCAATCGAATAATTAATTCCGATTCTATTTGATTCGATTATGCTACCCCCCTGCAACAGCAGCAACAGCTTCATACTCGTTCCGTCGAATTCAGTAGAACCCATTCATCCCAACATGGTTCTAGTATGAGATTGCTTGCGATGATTCTTTTCAACCTCTTATTTCTCTTAACTCTCGCCCTCGTCGTTTTATTATCGATTCGGGCGATGGTGTTAGAAACGGCCATCAAGAAGCTATGGAGAATCATCCAAGATTGGTTCCACGTGTACCAGTTCTTAAAAGTGCCAGAACTAAACGAAACTATGCAGCACAATCACCTCTACAGAAAGGTCTCCCTCTACTTGCATTCCCTGCCTTCCATCGAAGACTCAGACTTCGCCCACCTCATCACAGTGAAGAAGCAAAACGACATCGTTCTCTGCCTCGGTCCTAATCAAACAATCGAGGACCGTTTTCTCGGAGCCACCGTCTTCTGGTTCAACGAAACCGGCGACGAAAGACCCGAACCTAACAGTACCAGCACCAGAACCAGAGCCAGAACCAGAACCTTCGTTCTCAAGATAAGAAAGGTGGATAAGCGCCGAATCCTTCGCCCTTATCTTCAACACATTCATGCAGTTGCCGACGAAATCGAGCAGCAAGGGAACCGTGATTTGCGCCTCTACATGAACGCCGACTCCTTCGGACGGTGGAGATCCATTCCTTTTACCCACCCGTCCACGCTCGACACCATCGCCATGGAACCCGATCTCAAGAACAGAGTCAAGACCGATCTCGAATCTTTCCTCAAAGCCAAACAATACTACCACCGGTTGGGCCGGGCCTGGAAACGGAGCTTCCTCTTGTATGGTCCCTCCGGTACCGGAAAATCGAGCTTCGTCGCCGCCATGGCCAATTTCCTCTGCTACGACGTGTACGACGTCGATCTGTCTAAGGTTCCAAGCGATTCGGATCTCAAATTCCTCCTCCTCCAAACGACGCCGAAATCGATCGTGGTCATCGAGGACCTGGACCGTTTCCTTGCGGAGAAATCGAACAGGGGAGTGAGCTTGTCTGGGATACTGAACTTCATGGACGGAATTTTGAGCTCGTGCTGCGGCGAAGAGAGGGTTATGGTGTTCACGATGAACAGCAAGGATCACGTGGATCCGAACTTGCTTCGGCCGGGTCGGGTGGATGTCCATATCCATTTCCCGCTTTGCGATTTCTCGGCGTTCAAGACGCTTGCGAGTAGCTACCTTGGCGTGAAGGACCACAAGCTGTTCCCTCAGGTGCAGGAGATCTTTCAGAACGGGGCGAGTTTGAGCCCCGCCGAAATCGGTGAGTTGATGATAGCGAACCGTAACTCGCCGAGTCGGGCCATTAAATCGGTCATCACCGCCTTGCAAACGGACGGCGATGGCAGGGGGTGCGGGATGATCGGACGGCGTACGGGGGATGATGTATTGGATGAACCCGATGATGTGCTATGCGGTGAGGGTCTCCATTCAGTTAAGGATTTGCGGAAAATGCACGGTTTTTTCAGATTGAGGGTTGCCAGAAGATCTCCGTCGTCCAATAGTTCCTTGGCAAGCCCGTTGCGTTGAACGACGATTGCATTGGAGGACACGTGTGCAGTGTTCTTGATTGCTCCTGTTCGGGGGAAGACTCTATCAAAATGTGTCAATTTGGAGGCAACCCTTCTTTGTCCATAGCCATATTTGTCATGCATTTATTCATTGGATCCAAAATTGATGCGCTCTTAAAAGTGTGTTCATTTTTATCCTAGTGATTAGTGTGGGAATTCATATCATTAGAAATAGATTGATAACCGCTTATAGGAAAAGAATTTGCATAGACAAAAGAAAATTATCCTGTAGAGTTGTTTCCCCATTTTGGTGTATTGCTGTGAATCCATTTTCATGTATAGTTTTCACTTTTTTTTTTTTAAAAAAAAAGGAAACTACCCTGTATAGTTTTTTTTTCTTCCCAGTTATTTCTTCTTTGCTTTTTCAATATTTAGTTTAAGGGCTGTACAGTTTTTTTCCATTTTTAAAATATTATTTCTCATTATAAGAAGAAGAAAAAAATATTAAGTTTTAGATAAGATCAAAATATAAATTGTAGTCCGGGGTCAATTATAATTTTAACTCGGGTCAAATTATATAATTATATATAATAAGTATAATTTATTAATTTTTAATCCGAACCGAAACCACGTCCAAAATATACCTAACTCCGTCACTGATTTTATGGAAATGAAAAAAAAAACTGAAAAGAAATAAAGTACACTTTGGTCTGTCATCATAAATTGGTGCGGCAGCATCCAGCATGTTTGATTAACTTTCTGTCAGAGTGTGATGGAACTCTTCCATTTTCATTTTCTACAAACTTTTTGATGAGTACTTTTTCGGCTTTTCTTTCTGTGAAGTCCATATCTGTTGTCTTAGTTACAGAAACAGCTTACTCAGCATGGAGAAATATCATTCGCAAAACTAAATTTACATGATTAACTTTCATTTCCATAAGGGCACCGTACATGGTCAATCATCTGACAAAAACATCACATAATTCAGCAATTGTTCTTTCGGGACTCTAAGGAGTGACAATGACCGTACTGTCACTTTTTAGACAAAATTTTATCTGATTGTCATTTTAAAAAAAAAATTGTCAAAATGCCACGTCTGAATCTCACTGGTCTGACAAGCGGAAATGGACTGGACACGTGTCAGCGTCTGAATGGTCAACCATTCTCGTTGGGCTGCCCAGCTAGAATGACAGAATGTTGACACGTGGCAAAAGCACAGACATTCTCTGGATGTCTGTACTTTTGTCACGTGTCAGCATTCTGTCATTCTAGCTGGGCAGCCCAGCGAAAATGGTTGACCATTCAAACGCTGACACGTGTCCAGTCTATTCCCGCTTGTCAGACCAGCGGGATTCAGGCGTGACATTTTGGCAAATTTTTTTTCAGAAGTGGCAATCAGGTAAATTTTTATTAAAGGAGTGTCAATATGGTCAATGTCCCGTCTAAGGATGTGTTTGGTAAGAGGATTATGGTGAGATAGATAGGCAAATTAGAAGTGAGATTGTAAGGTGTCCATGTTTAGTTGACCAACTTTCAAATTTGTTCACCTAAATCAGTTTGCTAGGTATCTCATTTGCATGGCTATTTGGATCAAAATTGATGGACAAATATTCTCACTTTAGATGTGGTATTCCCCCCATTTGCATGGTTATCTTGGATTTTGTTGGTTGGTGTCTTTTTTTCCATTTATATTTTACCTACAACCAAACATAGACTTTATAAAAGTTATCTAATTCTCCCAGTTAAATTTTTTTCAACCAAACAACTTTTTTTTATATTTTCCTACCAAACTCACTTCCCTATAAATATCATTATTCATAAAATTTCTCCTCAACCAAACGCCCCTAATAGTCACTTAAATAGTGTAAAACTAATTCATGGTATGCCGTGAAATTTTGAAGAGTCATATGTATCTGATTCTTTGTAACATCTCCCCTTTTCCATATTCTAAGCATTGGTCCACTACCAAAGCATCTTTGGTGATGACAGAAACTCAATTACTAGCCAAACAGATAGTATATAATTTTCAGTCATTTTTATGTTTGATTTGGTTGCGTCTTCTTTAATCTTTATTCCCCCCACCAACCTTATGATTAACGGAACAACATATAATGTGAAACCAATAAAGAAAAGTATGCCTTGTGTGCAAGAAAACTAGACTTACGATGATTAAATGCAAAAAATTAAAATAGAGCTCCATAATTTAAATAGTATGACTTATTAATGAACTGAAAAAAAATTTAAAATCAAATGTTTTGAATGTATTCCTTTTTTTAATGATTAATGTTGGGCTTTTATAATCTTATTTGAACTAGTATAGTCGTATATACCTTAAACAATGATTAACTAAATACTATATACCATTTATTGGTTTGGTCCATTTATGATGTGCAAGTACTTATCAGGGGTTTGTAGGCCTTGTGATGAATTTCCCATAAAAAGCTGGTTAACTCGTATTGCTATTACAAGAATAAATTTATATTATGCATTTTGGTTGCCCTATGGAAACCGTCAAGAGTCATGCACACATAGGCATAAGGGTAATTTTATTTCTTCACCTCGCAGTCGCATATGAGAGTTGTTGGTGATTGCTTCTCAGATTGGATTATGACTGTCTCATTTATTTTAAAGGCAATCCTATAATTCGATTTTTAAAATTAATATTGTGCATGTCATGTTGTGTCAAATCATTTTATTTTTATTTTTTCACCATTCATCAATTACCCAACTTAATTCGATTGTCAAACCAAAATTTCAATAACTAATATTCAAGCTAATTAAATTTTAAGTTACACATAAAAATAACATTTTGTACAAGATCATCTTACTCTATTTATTCAAGTATTAAATTCACAACTTTTATTTAAATTCACCCCAATTGTAAGGTGTAATTATGATTGGAATTGAAAAATGGGCCATTAATTGTTGAAACTAGTTAGAGAGTTTAATTTATTTGTTTGTTTTTTAGGTCCAATATGCTAGGATGTTCTAATGGTAAGGCCTAAAGCGGCGCTGAAAAGAGAATTAATAATCATTATGCTTCAGCTGTTTGTGACAGATTGATGACCTTAAAATTGGTTTCTTAGGTGTCGCCATTGATTATAAAGTTATAACTAACTCGTGATTGTATTTGGCATTTTGGTTTTAGCTTGAAGAATGAATATATAAGGTACGGTGGTCAATTGTCCAACAAAGTCCTAGTCTCTCACCAAATAAAACAAAGCCAGAGAAATGGCACCAAGCATAATCGATGGCGATGTTTATAGTATTTTCTTTTGTTTTGTCAAACTCCTATACTTTTTTTATTAATTGGAGGTGCAAGTAATTAAATTAACAAAGAAATGTAATTTGATAAAGGATTAAACTTGGTTTAGGTTAGCCTTCGGTTAACGTTGAACTTCACTTTTTCGTAGTAATGAAGTTTCTAAAGTTTAGTTTTTTATGCTATGGCTTATTTTTAATATGTCGTTTTAACTGAAGATACCCTAATAAAAAAAATTGCATGCCATGCTAGAGAATTTTTTTGGAAAAAACAAATATCATGTTAGGAAAAATTCTTAGGTCATATCATAGAAACAATAAATCGTGGGATCCACCATTTTTAAAACAAAAGAAAATTAAAAAAGTTAGATGGGCTCACTTTTAAGTGTATGTAGAAAAATTGTTCGTGTCATGTGAAAGGAAAAAAACATTATCCAATTTTTTTCTGCTCCATTTTGTTTTTTGACATTGCAACTTTTTCGCTCTTCACAGTGTATGTGTGGGCTAAGTTTATTAAAGCCTAACTTTGTATTCATATAATTTGGGCCAGATTAAAGGCGGGCTCAACTGGAGAGAGTATAAGCCTACTCAGCTCCACACTCAGACTAAAGAATTTCTCAGTTGTGGACATGGCCTTGTAAAATACCTTTGTTGAAGATTGTTGGGGAAAAAAAATTCCTTAAAATCTACTTACCAAAAAGAAACCCTACATTAAAATATGTCCCATTCTAGTCACACATCCCTTTTATGACGAGTGATTAATTCTCAATCTAGTTTTTTATTAAAAAAATAACGATTTGAGTAAAATAGGCTCTTAATTTTATTTTATTTTTAAAAAAAGAGAGTAAAAACAATACATCAACTTCATTGCAGTAATACGTCATAATCAAACTGAAACAGGATAAATGCTCTTCAATTCTGAGCATCGAAAGCAACGACCAAATGGTGAGATATATAAAACTATTGATGTAGTTTCATTCAACACCTTAAGCTTTTGGGTTGAATTGGTTCTTTACACCAAATGATATGAATCATCCTCACTTACCACATTATCCCCATGGATAGCTAAGAACGTTAAAAAAAAAAAAAAGGACTTACTATATGCACTTTTCTCTCGTTTAACCAAGATCTTAATATATATAACTTGATCAACAAGAACATGAAGATAATTTCTTCATCTCACTAATTTCCAATTCAGGACCTGAGATCGTATCTATTTTTAATCCTTTAAGAGTGGCAGTGTTGTTGTGACCATTGGGGTTCCCATTACTACATTCCAATGGCTTTTTTGAGACTACCCTATTAATCTCTTGAAGCAATTTAAAAAAGGCACTCTCCACATTCTCACCACTGAGAGCTGAAGTCTCAGAGAAGAAGAGGCCCTGATCCTCTGCAAACTCCACAGCATCTTCCGCGTGTACCACTCTCTGGTCCACAAGATCACCTTTGTTCCCAATTAGCATGATCACAATGGAACTGTCGGCGTGTGCTCGCAGTTCCTCAACCCACCTAGCCACATGATCAAACGACTGCCTTTTAGTTATGTCGTACACCAGCATGGCCCCTAATGCACCTCTGTAGTATGCACTTGTCACAGCCCTGTACCTATTATATCACCAACAATATTTACCCATACCATATTATATATAATGTTAAATTGTCATAATTTATCTGCAGTTCTGCACCAAAATGACCAACTTTCATCCATGCATTTTGTCAGAATTCTATTCAATTTCCTACCCAACCACCTCATTTATACGTTTTATGGGCAACCTCATTTATAGTGAATATGTCGAATCTGACAAATTAGATGGGCTAACATAATATGCAAGAACCATGACATTCTTCCATAACTGTTCAGAGTCTTTTTACGAGCCCTTGTAAAATGCTGATGTAACTTATGGGACCAGATCAGGAAAAGGAAAATGATTACCTATACAACTATAGTCAAAATATGTGTTGTTGTGCTTGGTAATATGATAGTAGGGAAAATGAATAGCCATGTTGTAAAATATAATAATATTAAAGTTCAAGGGATGGACAAGCAAATCAAAGAGAGATATACATAAAGCATGAGAGGAAGAGAGAAGAGGTGAACCTTTCTTGGCCAGCAGTATCCCAGATCTGGGCTTTGATGACTTTGCCATTAATTGTGAGAGTTCTAGTTTGGAACTCAACTCCAATGGTGGACTTTGAGTCAAAGCAGAACTCATTCTTAGCAAACCTTGAGAGTATTTGAGTCTTGCCCACTGCTGAGTCCCCAATCACCACCACCTTAAACACATAATCTACTTTCTCATGCATCCTCTCAGCCTCAACCCCATTCATTTCCTGATTCATTTTCTTCCCAATACCAGCAAGAGTTTGAAATCTAACCTTTGGCTAGTCTTCCCCAGCAAAAGATACAGTTGGTCAAAGTATAGGTCGTGGAGTTAAGTAGGAGAAAGTAAAAGAACATGGAATAGGTTGGAAAAAAGATGAGCCGGACAAGACCAGTTTTGAATCACTGCTAGTGTCAAAAGAAAGAAATTAATAGGAAAGGAAATGGCCCTGTGTCTTTGTCTCCCTTTAATGCTTTACCAAATGAAGTGTACCACACCAAATATAACATTTATATATATGGCAGCTGTATTGTTTTGAGCATGCCACAGTGATACCATAGTATCTAGTTAAACTGGAATGTATCTCTCCTGGTAAAATTTCACGTCAATTTGTCATGAGAGAAATTTGTTTTTATCTCTTTTTAGATGTTTATGAATTTTGATAGAACTCCATCTATTTTATGCTCATAAAGAGAAAATTATTCTTACCTAACCAAAAAAAAGAGTTGATAAATAAAAATATTCTAGAGGTTGTGATGGTTTCCTAGGGAATTGGGAATTGAGATTTATTGAGCAGTTGAAGTATCTATTTTCGGGTCATTTTGGTCACGATTTCTAGCGCAATCCGTGCATACATGGCTTTGCTCTTAATTTTTATATAATGACTTTTTCATGCAAACATATTTTTGGTTGATTTGTATATATCAAATGGCTCTCTAAATTGTAATTATTTTTCTTAAAGCTTGTTTGCATCATTGAAGCAAAAGGGCGGTGGTCCTGAACACTGGTGAAACAGCTCACGCAATAGAGCCCAAGATTCATTAACTATTTCCAACTTAGATATAATGTGAAGTCTGAGTTTCATTAGTTGTTTTACTGGTGTCATGATGAATCCCAAGTGTTGAAATACGGAAGAACCAATAAGTTAAAAAATATCCAGTACTCACGGTGAAATACAATAGAGCATAACATATTTATTGGGGACCTGTAATTCAAATGCTTCATCTACTGATCCGACCAAAATGAAACAACTCGTTTATCTACTACGACTAGATGAAATTAAAGATCTAATTAACAAGGAACAAAAGATAATGTGATCACTGCAGTTAACAAGAATCGTAAGGAAGACTTTGGGACGAAATAGATGTTTTCCATTTGGTCTATAATTATTCTTTTTTATTTTATTTTTTGGGGAAAAAAAAACCTTTTGAGTGAAGATATTGTATCTATATGTAGCATGAGCATGGCCTGAAACATTTTGACTAGAGATTTAGTCTGTATTTGTAGCGTGAGCATGGCCTACCAGTTGTTCCAGACACACATGATAAGATCTGAAATTAAATTTGTCCCCTCAGTGTCTCATTGCAGTGACATAGGTTTGTTGGATATATGCTTTTTTGGTCACTAAAGTCCTATTGGGCTTCAGTGACACTTGAGCCCATGAGGCTTAGGGTTAAGTTATATCTAAGACCTAAGTGTATATATTCATAGTTTTCTCCTCTTGTGCCTCCAAGGTGAACAGATCATCAGAAACAAACCCAAGAGGCAGACGTTCATCATCTGAACGGTTGCCCACACAACCATCTCATCCTCCTCGAGAACAACTATTGTTCGTGGTCACATAACTACGCCCTTCCAGGTAATCAAAACGATGAAGGTTAATCTTTTCTCTCGTCGTGTTGGTTCGATGCGCTTCCGCGTGGTGAGATTCCTACAAGGTTGATAAAACAAAACATTCTATGAATCCATTGCAGTGACGGAGCAATCAGCACAGTAGGACACAGCTTGGGCTTCTCTGCACCGACAGAGCTGGTGTGGTACGGAAAACACCCTCCTGATTCCTGAATTATCACTTCTTGCTTGTAAACTGAAAAAGTGGTGAAGTACTGTTGCATGACCCATGGTGCAATCACAATTATTATTAGGACTCTCGTGCAACGGATGCATTGCTTTCAAGTCAGAACTTACAAATTATTTGTGCCATTTGATAGGATATTTCATAATTAAGTATATATAACTAAATCAATTTAAAAAAACTTAAATTGTTAAAATAATTTACCTAAAATATATGGGCATGAAAAACTTCTATCCCTTTATTAATTTATTTTTATTGTGGCAAAACAAGGCACGATATACAGACTATTACACTAAATTTTGCATTATTATATGCACTGATATTACAAAAATTGAAGTAATTAGTTATCAAGCATTGTGCGGTCATGTTATCCCTCCATTATACATGTTAAAACAATGTTATTAAAACCGGTTTGACCTGACTAGATATATCGGTCACTAGAGGTGTTCATCAACCGATCCAAACTGATTCAAACTGTGGTGACCAAACCGATAACCGAACAAATCGAAAACCGAAAAATAAAAAACCAAAAAAAAATCGCAACTTTTAATTGGATTGGATCGGTTTTTGGAATCCTTAATGAAAACCGATCCAATATATTAATTCTCCTCTACTTACTTTGGTGTTTCTCCAATCATAATAAAATTTTTTCTAAACTCAAGACTCATTAACCCATCAACTAAACCTAGTCACATCTCATCAACAAAATTTCATCTGCGTAGAGCTTCATATCTCATTGCCCAAAAAAAAAACTATATTATCGTTTACTGATTCTTTTGTATTTCAATTTTTTTTTACAAAGCCAATATATATACAAAAGATGTTACTGCATGAAACAAATTTTAGGATTTTCAAAAAACCGAAAACCGATCCAATCCAAACCGAAAAAAATTGGATTGGATTTGAAAAAAAGTCCAAACCGAATGGATGATTACATTGTCAAACCGAAGGGATTGAATCGGATGATTTTTGCTTTCAAAACCGATCCAATCTAGACCGCGAAAACCCCTGTGGGTCACCAAGTTAAATCACTTTTGATTGTTATATTATTTCTATTTATTATATATCATTATATAAATTCAATTTAAATAGTGTAACCAGTGGATTGAATTCATTGATAGGTCAACTGAATTTTATTAAAAAAAAAAAAAACCAATGGACATTTAAAATTCCATTCATTTCAATGAAAGAGCACAACTTGGGTTAAACCTAACATTCCAACGATTACAGAAAATTGAATGGTTGCTTTCAAGGTAACCCCACCAGTATCAGACCTGGTGGCTAAAACTTATCGTCCCATTGTTTTTCTTGTCTACAAAAGCCAATGCCTAAAAACTTATCCATCTCATACTCACTCTCTCTTCTCTGATCTCTATTTCAATGGATACTCTGTCAAGTTCTGTTTCAACCCTCAAAGTCCCAACACTCCCACCTACAAATCGTGAATTCTATCACTTTAAAAGAACTACCTATGCAACCCCCAACTGTCCTCCAAATCCACAACCCCATGTCTCCTCCACTTCCTTACCCAACTTGGTTCCCAAAACCAAGACTTTCTCACACAAGTCTTCTACTTCTCTAGCATTAGACACGTCACCTCTCAAACTCAAACCATCTTCTCCAATATTCCATCGAAAGCCTGCTACTGGTTATGCAGCAGCAGTCATAGATGTGGCTCAAAGCAGCAATTCCCTTCATATGGTTCAGAAGGATGTTCAGAGTCTCTTGAAATTCATCCAACATGTGACCTTTCAATCAACTTTGGTTGACCCTTCAATGGTTGAGGAGCTTAAAGGACAAGCCATGAGGCACGTAGTAGAGCAAGGGAATTTTCATGGGCATCTGGTTGGGTTGTTGAAGATGCTGCTGAAGAAGAACAAGGTGGGAATAGTTCAGGAAGTGTTGGAAGAATTCGAGAGGATTTACGATGAGCTTTGTGGAACTCAAGTGGTATTGGTTTCATCTACGACAAAGATGGGGGAAGAAGAACTGTTTGGGATAGCCAAGAGCGTGCAGCAACTAAGTGGGGCAGTGAGAGTGAAGGTAAGGAATTTGGTTCAATCAAGTGAGCTTTGCTATGTGAAGTGAAAATCACCCTAAAAAAACACAAATATTGGTCATAGTCTATATATGTCAAGTACAGGAGAAGAGCTATAAATGTAACTTCAAAATTCAATCAAAGTTATAACGATCAAAGCTCTTACTTTATTTGTTTTCATGTAATGGGTTTGGCTGTCAATCAAATCATGACTTATTTAGTTGCCAAAGTTTAATTAGGATTTCTTCTGCCTCTTTAGAAGCCAACTACTACAAGGGTAGAGCTATGCTTGCAATGCAATGCAGCTTTGCAATTCTTTTTCCCAAAAAAGTAAAAATATTCCGTTGCCGGGACTTGAACCCGGGTCTTTCGGGTGAGAGCCGAATATCCTGACCAACTAGACTACAACGGATTGTTGCGCATTGTTTCCATATATTTGTATATATTTTAGTATAATCTACACGGGAATTTTTTTAAAATAAAGTATTGATGGCTGAAGTGGAAGCCCAACTACATAGTACATAGGATTTTTTTTTATTTTTTGGTGGGGGAGAAACACTACACATGAAAATTTTAATTCTATAGAAAGTAAACCATTAAAGTAATATTTCCTGTCATGTTTCATCGCATTAACTCTTTAAAAATATTTATCATCAGATTATTCCCATATACAACGTCAAAACATTTGTCTTTATAAAGAATTAAAGTAATAAATAAAAGGATATTGTACCACAACTGAATAAAACAAAAATCCTCCAATACAGGTTGTCTCTGGTTGTGTTACTTTAAAGTTTAACCTTCCATTAATATTTTAATCTTCTATTTAATATGGACCAAGTCCACGTTGTTTTCAAACTAAAACTTTCTTATATAAGGTGTTATGGTGTTAGAGGTTATATTCACAGTCTCTTTTCGTTACGATTATAATTTATTGAGAATTAATAATTAATTAATAAATATAATCCAATAAATTATAATCGATTGACGAAAACTAACAGTTAAAATTTGGTTATAAAATGTTGTAAGTTTGAAAAAATGTTATAAGCAAAAAAATGTTATAAATATAACCTCCTTCGGGTGTTCCTTATAATCACATTTTAGAAATTTTTTTAAACTTATGAATTTAGCTTTTTGATCATTTTGTCCCTCATTAATTAATTAATAACTATTTTGTCCCTTATTCAAAATTATCTACCAATGTGTCCCTCTTTAATCAATTAACTTGAATATTTAATCGATTAAATGGTCAAAACAGTTACAAATGGTTGACTTGAGATTTAATCGATTAAATAGGGATATTTAATCGATTAAATAGGGATATTTAATCGATTAAATCTCCCAACAGGCAACAAAGGTCAAATCTCCTCCATAAACAAAAGCAGATTCCATACATATGAATCAAATCAATAAGCATAGATAACCAAAAAAAAAAAAACCAATAATTCACCTCTTGATGAGTAAATCTTCTGCATCGATTATTGGGTTATTGGATTATTGATGAAATTGTATTATATTTTAGTTGGATATGCAGAGGATGATATGTTTGACCATGTGATTGCAAATGTCGCAAGACCAAAATTTCAAAAACAAATAGGTGTGCCAGAAAAAGCTTTTTATTGGGATACATGCGACCAGAAAATCATTAATAGGATTGACCTAAAACATAATGTTTTTGTTTCCACCAACAAATTTAGCTCGTTGATGAGGTTATTATTTTGTATGTTCATTGCGAAGTAGACTAAATGATGCAGAAAATCTGTTTATCAAGAGGTGAATTTGTTGGTTTCTTTGTTTGTATGGTTGTTTAGGCTCGTTGATTTGCTTCGTATGCATGGATTATGCTTTTGTTTATAGAGTAGATTTGACCTTTGTTGCCTGTTGGGAGATTTAATTGATTAAATAGGAAGATTTAATCGATTAAATCTCGAGTCAACCATTTTTTGATTGTTTTGACCATTTAATCGATTAAATATTCAAGTTAATCGATTAAAGAAGGGTAGATTGGTAGATAATTTTAAATAAAGGGCAAAATAATTATTAATTAATTAATGAGGAGTAAAAAGATCAAAAAGCCTATGAATTTACAAAACATATATGTAAATTTTTCCGAGGAATTAAATTTTTTTCCTAGTGTCGTATAAATAAGACCACTAGACTTACTATGACAACTAGTTAGTACCTAGTGCAGTGCATGATTTTTTTTATATAATAAGTATTTAAATTATTGTAAAATTGCTTAATGCTTTACAATGTGTAATTTATCATGATATAATATGCGCCATGCTATAATTTAACACGATCATATATGTTTTTATAATTGAATAAGGCAATAACATGTTACAATTTTCAAAGTTTTTAATTTTTACATAGATTAGATTTTAAATCCAATATATTATTGCTAGTATGATAACATAAATCAATTTGTTAATTTTAAATTATCTAGTTTTACATCCTAAAAAAACAATAAAAATGTTGACAATATTAAAAATTAATAAAATTTTCCAATTCTATACAAAACTTTTTTTGATTGAATAAAACAATAAAGTTTTAAAATTTTTTTTTTATTATTTTTCATTTATAACTAATTAAGGAGAAGAGGAAATTGAAACAAACATGTATTTATGCTGACTTTTTTCATGCTGCCTTTACTATCACAATTAGATTTCAATAAATTTAGTGTTAAAATCTAAACTCTCCTGAACTGTTTGTGTAGATGTTTCTCATTTTTTTTTTTTTTTTTGGGTTGGTAAACAGATGTTTCTCACTTAATATAGCGAAGCGGAGGTATAAATCTAATGAATATCATATAATTTTGGCTATTTGTCCTGCAGAATGACATAGATCCTGTACCATAAGTGTCTTCCTCCAATTTAGGCTATTGGACATGTAGGAATTTATTTGGGGCTTATATTAAACGCCCCATTATCCTTGTACATTAAAAGAAAAAAAAAAAAAAATCCCTTTCTCGAGCATCCGTATTCTTTGCTATTAGAAATCATTCTGTTTGGGGATACGGAGGACAATCGGGAGTGGCCTTTTTTTTTTTTTTTTTTTTATAAATGAAAGTTTAAATGGTGTTAGACATCGGTATCTCACTAGGATCAGAGAAGATTTTCCAACCTTTTTGAAGATTTCTAGGAGGTATTACATATCATCCACCAACAAAGTCCTCACATCGGTCAGCGGAGTTTGAACCCACGCCCTTGAAAGGTATGGAACAAACCTTTAACCAATTGTGCCCACCTTTGTTGACCTTTGATCTTTGGTATTGCATGCTGGTTCCTTTGGAGCACCAGAAACACGACCATTTTCGAAGATTCTCATGCTAATGCCTATAGCATAGTTCGCCAAATTTGGTGTTACCATGACTATTTTATTTAGTCTAGAGCTCTGTTCCTATCTTCTGGTCTTCAACGTAGGAATAAAGAGGAAAAAAATATTCATTGGACTTTTCCTCCGGATGGATGGATTAAGATCAATGTAGATGGGTCTTCTACAATGGAAGGAATGCGTACTGGCTATGAGGGCGTGCTCAGGGATGATACCGGGAGTTGGATTGTTGGGTTTTCAAAATATCTTGGTTGGAGTTCCTCTCTCTCTCAGCCGAACTTTGGGGTTGTCTCTTTGGTTTTCAGATGGCTTGGAGGAGAAATTACCGTAAAGTGTGGTTGTAAGAAGATTTTTTGGTGGCTATTGATTTTATTATTAAAGGCTGTAATCAGGAGCACCCTTTGGCTGGTTTGATTAGCCATATTCGTCATTATCTGCAAAAGGACTGGTGTGTTCATGTTTCCCATATTTAAAAATATTATGATCATGATTATCTTCTAAATACTCAAAGATTAAAAGAACAAAAAGGCGTTACTGGGCCAAGTGAAAAATGGACCAGGTATGTACCCAAAAAGAAAAATTAACGGACCAGGTTCAAGTAGTGAGGTTGGTACGTTCTCTATGTGGAAGAAATACAACCAAGAGATTAGAAAAGTATAAATAGAAATACAGAATGAAGGTTGATTGGACCCAAATTATCTTTATTGGTGGGCTAAAATAACCAATTAATATACGAAGGAAAAAGTGTTTATTATTTTAAAAAATATAAAGTTGTATCATTTTAAGTGAGAGAAATAGATAGATAAAGAGGAGAGATAATAGACAAAAAATATAAAGGTTTGTATCCTATCTATTCGTGAGAATAAAATGATATAAGTTGTGTCATTCAAAGTGAGAAACACTCTGCCCAATATATAAATACAATCCAACCGTTTCATGCGGAATTTGGATAAAATCTCAATATCAGGGCCTTTTTGTCCTTTGCCTAGCTGAATTCTAGATTTTCCGGAAAGCAACGAGCAAAGAAAAAATCCAAGTTTTTATCTCGAGGTATGATTTAACGTTTGAATTTGGTATTATTAGTTTCAGAGAGCGAGAACCCAAACTGTTAGGGTTAGGGTTAGGGTTAGGGCTAGGGCATTAACTTTATTGTTTCATCATTCTTCGATTTTGGTTTTTGAAGATGAGGCCAGTTTTCGTTGGTAACTATGAGTACGATACCCGTCAATCAGAGCTTGAACGCTTGTTCGCCAAGTATGGAAGGATTGAGCGCGTTGACATGAAATCTGGTAAATTCAACTCTCTTGTTTTCTTTTCTTTGAATATTATTTAGGGTTTGTAAATGGTTTGCTGAAGCTTTTTGAATTAGAGATATCTATCGTCAAATCCGGTGAACTGAATCTATGTAACTTACAGATAATAATGTTGTTCATGTAACAATATATAGGCTTCACTTGTAAGATATAATAGTGGATGTGGGCATAATGCGTGCTGCTTGTGTAGCTTGAAAGCTTGTTCCTAATTCTTATATCCTTGGTGGAAAATAATTGGCCGCTCAAAAAAAAAAAATAAAAAAAATTGGAGCAATCCTCCGTGTTTTAAGTGTTTCTTTTGACGCAGGAACTTGTACTAATGGAAAATATGCTTTGCTGACTTCTATCTTTTTTGGAAGGAAACTTTTCTGCTTGTGTGCTTACTCTCCTTCCACCCTGCAGATAGCATCATTTCCATTTTCTCACCTGATCATCTGTCACTCATTCACCTCATCGTCCAACTATTTCCACAGAATGGACATAATGGGATCATCAATCAAATTAATAAGTCAAGCCATTCCATTCCATGCCATGCCTAGCTCTACAAAAAATAGGGGATCAATTAAATTCTGTCATGCCATGCCTTGTGTTGTGATACTGATACCACTCCTGCTGTCTGAATGAAGAAGCATGCTTGGCAATGACATTCACAATCACAGATCTGAATTTTGGATTTAAACCCTTTAATTGCAATCATCATTCTCTTCCTCATTCAATGCCTCTACAGCTTCTTGTGCATCCTTCCTCACTTATGATGCAGGTGTTGTATTCCTTTGTTCCTGACAGGGAAAATGATATCCTGATTGGATGGTGTACTGCTGGCCAGGGATAACATGCTGACTCCCTTCTTTGTGTATGTCTCTAATACTAGTTCTCCTGTTGCAGGTTTTGCTTTTGTCTACTACAAGGACGAGCGAGATGCTGAAGACGCAGTTCGTGCACTTGACGATTTTCCATTTGGATATGAAAAGCGAAGGCTGTCTGTGGAGTGGGCTAGGGTATGATAGTATTTTCATTATAATGTTTTAGCTGTATTGACCTTGTATTATTGAGGTCACAAATGTCAACAATGTACTATCTGAGTTTAATAAGACAGTTCTAATTCTTTTATTTTAACAGGGTGAACGTGGCCGCAATCGTGATGGTTCTAAGGCAAACCAGAAGCCCACAAAAACTCTATTTGTGATTAATTTTGACCCAATTCGAACCAGAGTCCGTGACATCGAAAGACACTTTGAACCTTATGGGAAGCTTCTTCATGTTCGAATTCGTCGGAACTTTGCATTTGTGCAGTTTGAAACACAAGAAGATGCTACCAAAGCTCTTGAGTGTACACATATGAGGTCAGTAGTGAGATTCTTGTATCTTTTGATATATTTCGAAAGTTTAATATTTTACTTAATCTGTACAAGTAATGAATTTCTGGTATCAATGCACTTGCAGTAAGATATTGGACCGAGTGGTGTCTGTTGAGTATGCTCTGAGGGATGATGGTGAGAAGAGTGACAAATATGATGACAGTCCTAGAAGAGGGGGTTATGGGAGATCACCCAGTCCAGTTCATCGTAGGCGATCAAGTCCTGACTATGGTCGTCCACACAGTCCTTTGCATGATAGGTTCAATGGAGCAGCCTATGACCGGCGCAAGAGCCCTTATTATGGTAGGCATGTGAGTCCTGAATATGGTAGATATCGCAGGTATTGTATTTGTCAGTCATTATAATTAATTATCTGTGCAGTTCCTTATTGTATTTTGGATCTTATATATTCTATTATATATCTACAGTCGTTCACCAATAAGAAGGTCAAGAACTTAAAAGCGATGCTCTGTTTTGGGGTATGAAGCAGGCTGCAGTGGCACCATTTTACTTTTTGGGTTTTGGATTGGTGTACTGTTCCCATTTTAATGCTTGGTTTCTTCTAGATGTGTAGCAACTCAGAGCCAATTATACTTATAGGACCTTAATATAATATGTTTAAAGTCAGAATTGTTGATTCGTGTTGTAGGGACATCATCTCGTGCTATATTTAAAATCATTTTTTCGATCCTAGTGCTATTGTTAAAGTTAGGCGATTGAATTTTCTGTTGCTAGTGAATTAACCAATAGTTTGTAGTTTTCATCCGAGGGATGGAAGCGTAAATGTTCATGCTAGGAATGATCAAATATCAATGCTCAGTAAGTTATGGTATTCTTGTGTGTTTCAAAACGTTGCTTCTAGACCCCAAATTTGCTGTAAAATTTAATTATGTTTTACTTCGTCTACGTTGTTTTTTTTAGTAAACTACGATAGTTTTTGATAAGTCGTTAACAGATTCAATTACCTCCTTCAACTAGCAATCCAACATTCCTTCCCCAAATAGAGGAGTTATATACCTGAAAATTCTGCGCTCGTCTTCTTCGGTTAAATTTAGGTTCTATTTAAACTAATGCAGACGATTTTCTGGACTACGGAATTTAAAAAACACACGTAAATATTTCTTATCCCTTGATTATATTTGGTTTTATGTATTGTCTGCGTCTTGGTGACGAAGCTGTTGAGATGTTAATACATGGTTTTCTTTTTTTAATATTTTCCTCACTTATCTAGTGTTATCTACTCACTGTGAAAAATCCTCCCTGTTACTTTTCTTTTTTCTAGCTGCACTTTGCCTAACGTAAAGAGAATGTAAACAGGTGGGGACACTCCTAAGCCTTGGAACAGTGTATTTTGCGGACTCACCTTTGTGTGCTGTAGCAGCTCTTTTCGATAATCTTGCTTGGTTTGCATTTTCCAGAGTGGTTTCATAGGCTTTCGTTAGGCCTTTGAACATATTCATTTATCTAATTGTATCAAATTCATCTATGCTTGAACATATTCATTTCATTATAATTAAACACCCTTTAAAAAGCACTCATATAGCGTCAAATGAGTTTCTTCAACTCTTTTGAACTTCATATAAATTACTTACAATTGATTGCGACTTAAGTTGAAGAATTCCTGAACTCTTGTTCAATTGCCTTTGTGAAGCCAGGCCTCAGCATCTTTCATCATCCCAGGGCTAAGCCTCACCATGAGGATGCAAAACTCAGTCTCATTTAGCTTCCCATCTCCATCAAGATCGCCATGTTTATCCATGGCCTCTGCATCCTCTTTGCTCATCACATCCATACCCAGCAGAGCTGAATTTCTCATCAGACTCTCACCTGTGATCAAACCCACTTCAGGGTCTGCTAGAAGCTTGAAACCCTCACATAATTTAGAAAGAAGAGTTCAAAATTTTACAATAGGGTGTACAATACATAAATATGTACTTTTTGTATCTTATCATTATTTTATATTAATTAAAAGTCGTGAATCTTTGAGGAAATACTCATATTTTTTGTGCTTTCTTATGCTTGTTTGTGTAAAAACATATTTGCAATGCGAATGCCCGAAATTTTTTCGAATTCGCTTAATCTTTGAGTTAATTTTTTTTCTTTTCAAAATATCTTTATAGTTCTGAATTATCTTTCTAGTCTGTTATTATCTATTCTAACTTTTGCGGTTTGTTTTTTCTATGGCCTTATTCTCTAAGTTTCGTCTTATTATTTTAATATTGTTTATAAATTTATTAGTTATATATAGGTTAAAAACTGTTCATGTATTTCATATTCTCCTTTATTATATAACATGTGTATTTTATATTAAAATATATATATATTTAATATAAGAGATCAAAGAGGATAAGAACTAAGAAGTCCTTAAGAAAGTCAAAAAATAAATCGTAACAAAAGCAAAAAAAGTTAATTTGTTATAAAAAAATGTGCTTGTAGCATTATGTAAGTTTTCTTTCATGAATTTGAAATGAGTTATATTTAATGTCTTTTAAAAAAAATTGAGGATTAAATTGGATTTAAATTTAGGGGAGGGTTATATTTACAAACTTTTTTTTTACAAACTACACTGTATATTATAGGTAGTATACTGTGTGCTCAAATGTACTACCTCTAATATATAGTGTAGTTTGTAAAAGTTTATAAACAAAAAGTTTGTAAATATAACTTTTTCGTTAAATTTAATACCAAACTAATTAAATGATATCATAAAAAACTAATGGGATTGAGTCAGATGACTTTTTACCTTTCAAAAGTGGTTCAATTCAATCCGTGAATCACCCTAAAATGTGTCCGTCTGTGATGGTTTCTTGGAAGGTGCCTTGGCGGGGATATTCTGATTAGAACGTGATATTCTTGGGCATGGATTCATTGTTAATATATTGTTCGAAGAAAAAAAAAAAAGAAGAAAAAGAAAATAATGACCAAAGCACATAAATAGTTCGAGAATATATAGTTAATGAAATAGTAGTCTTCGAAGCATTAAATATATATTCATTGTACGGATAGTGGCTTCCACTAAAAAGAGCCGCATCCACTACACAAACACAAATCAAGTTTAATATCAACAAACTTTACATGAAGGAAACAACTTGGATAAGGGCAAAAAGTAGTTAACAAACAAACAAACAAACTCAAAATCAATGAAAAGCAAGTTTCTTCTTGGCTGTCCATCTCTTTCTGGTAGTTTCCAATGCCTCCAACTTCATTTTAGAAAGTTCTTGAAACCAATGTTGATACTGTGACTCAATTGCATCAAGTTCAATCTTTAGTTCAAGGTCAATGTCTTTGTCTGCTAAAGACACAGAAGAACAGCTGCTTATCAAGCTCATGATATTAGAGTGTGAGTTTTTTGAGAATTCATTTATCACAATGCCTTCACCATTGCAGTGTGTGATCTGCAATTTGAAGTCTTCAAAATATGTATCCCCAAGCTCCAGTTCCGAGGTGGACCAACTTAATCCTTTATAGCTCACATCCGCATCGGAATCGAGGCTGTTGTCATTTTTCATGCAAGCATCTTCAGTAACTATCTCAGAAGCTGCAGATTCTTGTGAATATTGATCTTCCAAGCTAGCCAAACTAGGAGAAGAATTATACTCACCCTCAAAGGTAGCATTATCAGCAACGTTAAACATGCAGCTCACCTCAGCTCTTGCAAAACCTTCTCTTTGAGAAATATTAAACCCAGAGAGGTTATCTTGATCATAAGCCAATTCAGAGGGAACACTAGTTAGGACAGAACCCCATGGACTTGGCATTATGGTTTGGCCATCTCCAAGTGTTGGAGAGCCACCACACAGACTTAATCCTCCACTTGAGGAATAATCAGATGAGGGCTTCCACCCAGGTAGAAGTTTCATTATCAAGTAATCAATAAGCTCAGCTATGAAGGCTACATCATGATCTGTCAACTCCAAATTTTCAACCATCTCTGCGGCAACAGAGACAGCAGTATCCGTCTCAAGGTAAAAGAGAAAATGTATATTCCTTACACGACCTGCAAGTAACATAAGCACTATATTATTGCCACATAGAAGATGAAAAGCAACATGGATGCATGTCAAAACTAGTTCAGATGTTGTTCACCACTTCCCAAACTCCACCGTATTCCCATGAAAAAGGGAAAAGAGAAGAAAAAATGTGAAGGAGGAAGAAAAGAGCATATACTCACCGCATAAATCAGCAATACGCAGGATCAATGATATTGAGTTATCATCATTTTTTATCCCCTTCAACCTAAACTCATTGTTCTTATATGTCCTCTGAACTTCAAGAAATGGACAATGTTGACTTCCCTGGCTTCTTTCAGCACAAGTACTGATAGAGATCTGTTTGTAGTCAGCATCTAGGTCCATAGATATATGACCAGACTTTGACAGATCTATAGCTTTTAGAGATTTACTAGGTAACTGTGAGGGATCAAGGATTGGATCCTTAGGACTCTCAACTTGCAGAAATGGGTCTTTAAGAAGCTCCTCTGCAGACAATCTCTCAGATGCTGGAACGAGACATTTCTTGATAAACTCTTTAATTTGGGGATCACTCACCCTTTTAAGGGATGCAGGTTCAATGCCCTGCAATGAAATGAATCAGAATATAGAATAAATATGAGTTCAGTAGTTCAAATAATAAGCATGCAATCAAAAGGATATACCAATTGTTTCTATACTTACAGAGGTAACTTTCTTATAGATTTGGGCTGGATTTGTACATTCACTGTACGGGTACTCAAAAGTAACCATCTCCAACATGCACATCCCAAAAGAATAGACATCAACGAGTTCATTGTATTCCTCTTCATATAGTTCTGGAGCCATAAACTCAGGCGTCCCTTTTACAATAGAAAAATGACAAACAGAGCCTAGTTCATTGTTCAGCATAGGTTTAGTATGATGAAAACATCAATTTCAAGGAATGTAATGTTACCAATAACACTTCGAGCAGTTGGTTGCTGCATGACAATTGCCAAACCAAGGTCTCCTATTTTAACTTTTCCATGGTTTCCATTTACAAAGATGTTGTCGCATTTCAAGTCTCTGTGAATAATAGGAGGCTTATGACTGTGAAGATAAACTAAGCCTTGAAGAATCTGTCTAGCCCAACCTTTAATGGCTTTCATGTCAACATATCTATGCTTCTTACGGTATCTGTTACGCCAAAGGAATAAAATAATTTCATATTTTCAAATTATGGCCAAACAGCATAAAAGGAAAGGGAGAAAACTGGAAATGATTCAAGAGGACATACTGCCTTAAATTTCCAGATGTGAATAGCTCAGTAATAATGTTAATAGTTTTCTTCTTATCATCAATCCAGGAATTAAAGAACTTTATGATATTTTCGTGTTTCAGAGACTTCAATAGATGAACTTCAGAATACAATTTTGCAAGATCATCAACTGACTGCAAGAGTTCATCAATCCGGACTTGGTTCCACGCAACTTCTATTCCATCAGTTTCATCAAAGCCCCTATAACTGCCAGAAAGAGAGACAGAGAAATGGATTAAACAGCCTGCTTTTACAACTGCAAGAATCTTTAAGTATTATTGGATAAAAGTTTTCAGAAAGAAATATTTAATGGAATAGAGCAAGTAAAATTCTGAATAAAACTAGAAGACTCCACCAACATCGACATCACCTTTGTCACAAACTTGTTGTGGTTTGCGGTCGATGAATCCAAATAAAAAAAAACAAGATATAAAACTAGAAGACTATGAACAAAATACAATGAAATAGAGATTTGGGAGGAGGGACTTTTAAAAAAAAAAAGATTTAAGTATGAGAATCATACACAGTCTTGAAAGCACCCTTGCCCAAGATCTCATTGTACTGTGGAAAAAAAGAAGAAGAAAAAAGTTAAAATAAAAAAAAATAAAGCATAAGTGAATCATAGAATAGAAATAGAATTTCCCACGGCCAACGGGAGCAGATTATAACTATTTTATAGCAATTCATTGGTATGCTTTAACAAAAGGAATATCTCCACAACAAGGATTATCTATATTATCAAATCTTGGGCATGAGACAGAAGTTCTATGATTGCTCATTAAGAATGATAATCAATAACACGTGTGGTTTATGAAGTAAAAGTTGAACATGGTTGGTTAATCTACCTTTCACAGCGCTGTATCAAGATAATTCTTACTTGCTCATTTTCACCCTAAGCTAGATTATAGTTTCAGCTTCAAAACTCAACACAATATTACATACAACACATCAGATAATCACCAAGCCTTTAGCAAATTGAACAAAAAACATTTAATAAGGATTGCATAAAGCACATACCCGAAGATACCGGCCAGTAGGATCTTTCTCTACAAAGTCCTCTTCGAAATCATAAGGTTCCCTTGTTATGAATCCATTGTCCACAGGCAATGCCAATACAGCACCAGAATCCATTCTGGGGCTGACAAACCAGAACCAAGGATTTTATTATTTTTATTTTATTTTTTTAAGGGTTTGATTTTTCGTTGTTATTCAAAAAACGAGGGGTCAAAGGTGTTGCTGGTCAACTCCAATTGGTATGAATGAACAACCACCCTCGGAGAAAGCTTGGGAATCAATGCTGAACAAGTCGAATGCCGATCGCAGCATGAATCGGCATTCGATGACAATGTTCGGAGGCAATGAACATAAATCCAAAACCCCACCTTCCATATCATAGCAAAAATTCATTCTCAAACAAAACCCAAAACAACCTTTCTCTCAAAATCCATTCTTTTTACCAGCCCAGGTACCGAAACCTGACAAAGAATCAAAATTTAACAGATGGGTGTCCCGTTAAACCATCTTCTAAGGGGGGGGAAAAGTTTTCTCTGAAAAAATTAAAAACAAAAAAATGAAAAAAAGGAGGAAACTAAGCAAGAGGGTTTGCTTGGTTGGTGATAGCTGATAAGAAAGAGAGAGAAAGAGGAAGTGATTCTTGGGGCGGAAGAGAAGGTGGGAACATACACTTGTATGGTAATCAGAGAACACTCTTTGTAGAGAGCTATGCTATTGGAAGAAAAAGAGAATAAGGAACACGTTGGTTAATTCAATTCGTTTGGAAATGGAAGTTCGGTAAGAACGCCAGGAAAGCTGAAATGAAAAGCCTGCAAAACGATGCCGTAGCATCAGTCAGGTCCCATTAGTGGTGAGAGAAGTTTGAGTAATCCACGTGAAATTATAGGCTCAAATCTTAATGTTACTATTATATTAAAAATAATAATCTCCTATTACACGATAAATATTAATATCCCTGAATTTATTTGTATAACATGAACTATAAAAAGATAAAATTTACATTAAGCTTTAGAATAAGAATGAAATCATTAGCCTTTTTATACGTATCATTTTTGTCTGTTAAAGCATATATGTCTTCATCATGCCATTAAACTTTAAAAGCTGTGATCACGAAGAATAACCTGAATTTAGTTTCGAATTATCATTAACTATTCTTATTAATCTAAATATTGCTTCGCCACTGTCCCTCACTCCCAATATTTTTATGGAAAAAAATTTCTTATTTGAAAGGAGATAATATCTCATACTCCTACACTAATAAAAAAGTGGATCTTATGAGTTTTTTTATTTTATTTTATTTTTTACAAATAGAAGAGCTCACAAATTTATTTGTATGACATGAAATAACTTATTTACTTTAACATGACTGGAAATAGGAAAATAAAGTGGATCTTATTAATCCGTTGTACCTACTACGAGCACTAAAATTTTCCCCCTACTTAGCATTCTATCAGCATCCATCTTTAAGCTCAACATCTCGTACATGAGTAAAATATAATTTGAAGATAACATAACTAGACTTGAAATAGGAAAATAAAGTTCTGACCATATAGTCTAGGACATCGTTTCAATTTTTAAACTTTAGCCACATTGGATTTCTGAAACATGACTACTATACTGTACTTTTTTTTTAACTTTAAAAAATCGATTTTATGATTTGAGGATATGAATTTTTTTAGATAAAAAAAAAAACCTAGCTTCTTCACATATGCAGACTCAAATATTATATTTTAATTCATGGTCAATGGCCTGATTGTTTAGGATTATTCTTAATGTCACCTGACAATAGAAATAAATAAATTTCAAGGATATATATTTATTCAAATAAATATATTTATTTACAGGCCTGATTTAATTCTTACCTTTTTATTTTATTTTATTTTCTTTCTCACTCTTTTTCTCGCCGTGCTTCCTCACTTCTTATGTGCGTCCACTTACCAACACTTCTTTTTTTTAAAATATTTCAATTAATTCATTACTTTGCAACTAATCTGATTTGGGGCGGGTCCAAGATTAAAGTTTTAAACTTCTCTCAAAAGTAGTACTGGAGAGATTCGAACACATGCTTTTACCCCCACCTGCTTAGCTCCCATACATCAACTGAAGTACCACCATTTGGTAAATTACCAACACTTCTTGATTTATGCAAGGAAGATCACTGGAACATTTTATTTTTTTATGCCAAACAAATTTGATTAATTTTAAAAAAATATTTACGGTAAAACTAAAAGTAACGTAAGCTACAGCAATGAGGTGTCGTGGTGTAGTTGGTTATCACGTCAGTCTAACACACTGAAGGTCTCCGGTTCGAACCCGGGCGACGCCATGTTTTTTTTTTTTTTTTCTGTCTCAATTGCTGGATGGAAAATGAATGGGAAAAAGAGAAAACAAAGGGACAATTATTGGTCTTGGTCGTCTTCTCTTTCTGACAGGTTCACACAATTTCTACTTCACTCTCTCTGTCTGCTCATGAAACAACAATTGCCAGAGAGCTGAGCTCCACACGTTGTCGGAAAAGTTTTAGTAGAAACACATGGAGACGACGACGACGACGACAAGGAGTACGAGGTATTCGAGGGCGAAACAGAAGGAGGAATTGGCTTCCCTTCTGCGGAAATCATGGTATCATCTAAGGTTGTCGGTTCGACACCCATCTAGGGTTCCCACATGGGATGCCATCGTCCTCACTGCTGCTAGCCCCGAACAAGCCCAATTGTACAATTGGCAACTCAACCGGGCCAAGCGTATGGGTCGGATCTCAAACTCCACTATCACCCTCGCCGTGCCTGACCCTCATGGCCACCGGATCGGCTCCGGAGCTGCCACTCTCAATGCCATCCATGCCCTCGCTCTCCATTTCCAACACATTGGCTCTCAGGTACTCAAAATTAAGGTTTATTTTTTGTATTCTTAGTTTTTAAGTTTCTTAACTTGTTATTAGTATTATTGATTTAAAAGTACGTTAAACATTAACGATGTGACATTCCCCCCCATAATTGTGTTTTTCTATTGTAAATGATTCGTCCACTGTTTTTACAGGAGTCAACTACCACAAATGGCAGTGATGTTTCTCTTCTGACAATAGTTAACTTGATTGCCAAAAAGCATGTACTATTGCTGCATGCTGGAGGTGATTCAAAAAGGGTTCCATGGGCAAACCCTATGGGGAAAGTATTCCTGCCCCTTCCTTACTTGGCAGCAGATGAGCCAGATGGGCCAGTTCCCCTGCTTTTTGATCATATACTTGCTATTGCTTCTTGTGCAAGACAAGCTTTTGGAAATGAAGGTTTTTTTTTTTTTTTTTTTTTTTTTTTTTTTAATACATAGGTTTTTTCTTTATATATACTGTGATTCAACTTAAATTTGTCCTCCTTTTGTATGTGATAAAACATCACTTGTAGTGTTTTAAATGTCGAAACTTTTAAGGGTATCGTGTATTTTATATTCCTTCGATGTTCGCATGACAGGACTTTTTTAAGCATCTGATATCCAAGTTGTATCAGTTAAGTTTTAATGTTCACCACTTCTATTCTTTGTCTGCATCCTAATATGCATGTCTAAGGGGATTCTTTATTTATATATGTATTTTTATTTTCAGTATGAAATTGGCGATAATATTTATTTTAACCAAAAATTGTGTAACAGTTTCATTGCTCTCTGTCAAATGGATTTATTTGCGAAATTTTTCTCTGGTGCTATATTGGGTTTGGTGTTTTCATACAGAATTCTTTCAATCTTCCCAGGTGGAATGTTGACCATGACTGGTGATGTTCTTCCATGTTTTGATGCATCTGTAATGACTCTTCCTGAGGACACTTCGTGCATCATCACTGTTCCAATCACCCTTGATGTTGCTTCAAACCACGGAGTAATTGTTGCAGCTAAAACTGAGCATTCAACTCAAAATTATGCAGTCAGTTTAGTAGATAATCTACTACAGAAACCTACCCTAGAAGAGCTAGTTAAAAACAATGCAGTTCTAGTTGATGGTAGAGCACTTCTTGACACTGGAATAATAGCAGTTAGAGGCAAGGCATGGTTGGAGCTTGTTACGCTTGCGTGTTCCTGTCAGCTAATGATTTCAGAGCTCCTGAAGAGCAGAAAGGAGGTATACTACATTGTTTGGTATTAACATATTATTTGGCTGGTTCCACAGATGGAAAGGAAAGGAAAGTAATGGATAAATATATTCTTCGTTATGCTTTGGGATATAGGGAAAGAAAACAAATTAATAGAAACTAAATTGATTTTATTTAAAAAAAATAATTCTGTAGTTATTTCTGCCACCCTAACTAGTTTGGAATAAAGGTGATGTAGATGATGATGAATTATGGAGTCATTTGTATTTTAGAATTATGTTATAATTGAATCATGTGTCATTTTTAAAGTATAACTATTTATTGAGGTCAAGAATGCCATTTAATGTAAAAAAAAAGTGCGGGTATATATATATATATATATTTATGTTGGACCTAATATCTGCTGCAGTGGCTTCCTTCAAAATGTGTCCACTTATGGACAAAGTGGAATATGTTGAGATATATAAAACTATTAATGTAGCCTCCCAATAGCTTAAGCTTTTGGGTTGAATTGGTTCTTTACATGGTATCAGAGCCTCGGTGCACCGGGGTTCGATCCTCACCACCCCCCACTTTCTTTCTAGTGGAATTTCTTTCTTTGCACAGATAAGTGGGCCTGTGCTTTGTCCACCCTTGCTCAGTGGACTCTCATGTGAGGGGGCGTGTTGAGATGAGATATAGATAAAACCAAATGTAGCCTCACCCAACAGCTTAAGTTTTTGGGTTGAATTGGTTCTTTACAGAATATTTTTGGGACCGGTACTGTAACAGAAAGAGGAAGATGCTCTTCCATAGGCTGCTTCCCTTCCATTGCACAGTTCCATTCTACTAAACAAATCATAAATTTTTATGTTATGAATACACCAAGGACTCCTTCTGTATGTTCCATTGCCAACCATTTCTTTGTCTAGCTTGCTCTGACCTCTGAGTGCTCCCAGAAGTTATGTTTAGTAAAACATCATTGTAAAATAAACAAACGCACTGTTATCAAGAGACCTCTATTCATTGCTTTAACTAACTATATTTACTGTGTACTTGCAGCTACTTTGGTTCAGCACCATGCATGCAATAAAAGGCTTTCTCTCCAATTTAACAAAATTTTACTCATTGGTTATTTAAATATATACATTTTTTTTTATTGTGTTTCTCCATTCTTATAGTTTGCTCAATCTCACTTTTCCTTCTTTCTGACTTGATTAGTTGACTACTATTCATTTTGTCAATATTTCTTCTAATCACCGGTACATTACAACTAATAGAACCAATTTAGTGTTATTTAAATAGTTATGAAGTCTGCGGATTTTTTTCTACTGAAGCATTCAATGCTTTTATTCATTTGTAGAACAATGAAAGTATTTTATCTAAGAATAAATGCTTTTTGTTGTGCAGATGAGTTTATATGAAGATCTGGTTGCTGCCTGGGTACCTGCAAAGCATGAGTGGTTGAGAAAGCGCCCTTTGGGTGAAGAATTAGTCAATAAATTGGGAAAGCAGAAGATGTTTAGCTACTGTGCCTGTATGTAAAGCCTAATTGCAATTGTATCTGTTATCTGCTTCATTCCTTTTATTTTATCTATCTATATAAAAATTTATTCTTTCATATATCATTCCATTACAGATGATCTGTTGTTCTTGCACTTTGGGACCTCAAATGAAGTTTTAGATCACCTCAGTGGTGTTGGTTCAGAACTGGTTGGTAGAAGACACCTGTGTTCTATTCCAGCAACCACTGAATCTGACATTACAGCATCTGCTATTATTCTTTCTAGTAAAATTGCACCTGGCGTCTCAATTGGAGAAGATTCTCTCATATATGATTCATCTATTTCTGGTGGAATACATATTGGCTCCCTATGTATAGTGGTTGGAGTCAACATCTCTCCGGATGATTATATAAGCGATGAAGATTCAATCAAGTTCATGCTTCCAGATCGACATTGCCTTTGGGAGGTTCCCTTGGTAGGAAGTAGTGAGCGCGTCCTAGTATATTGTGGACTTCATGATAACCCCAAAAGTTCCCTTTCTAGAGATGGTACATTTTGTGGGAAACCCTGGAAGAAAGTTTTACGTGATATAGGTATTCTAGAAAGTGACTTATGGGGATCATCAGGCACTGATGAAAAGTGTTTATGGAATTCGAAAATATTCCCCATACTTCCTTATGGTCAAATGCTTAAGGTTGCAATGTGGTTGATGGGCTTAGCTAAACAAAAATCTGAATATATGCTTTCTTTGTGGAAATCTTCTCGACACATCAGTCTGGAGGAATTGCATAGATCAATTGATTTCTCACTAATGTGCATAGGTTCTAGTAACCATCAAGCTGATCTTGCAACAGGAATTGCGAAAGCTTGCATTACCTATGGAATGCTAGGGCGCAATTTGTCTCAATTATGTGAAGAAATTCTGCAAAAGGAGGGTTCTGGAGTTGAAATAGCTAAGGATTTCCTTGCTATGTGTCCAAAAGTTCGGGAGCAAAACTCTAATGTACTTCCCAAAAGCCGGGCATACCAGGTGCAAGTTGATCTTCTTCGAGCTTGCAATGATGAAAGGACAGCATGTGAGTTGGAGCACAAAGTTTGGGCTGCTGTGGCTGATGAAACTGCTTCAGCAGTAAGGTTTGGATTTAAAGGTACATGATTTACTCATGCCCCAAGATGCTGTATTCATGAAACAAATTTTGCAAACTGTTCAATGCAACTTACATTCATTTTATTCATTTTTTATTTTATTTTTTGAGGGAGAAGCAGGGAGGAATTTTGGTACATCTTTGATGACTTGACTTTTGCTTGAGTTAATTGAGAAAACGTAAAGGATTTGTCTCAAACTTAGGATAATCTATCTAGAGAAATGCTTATGAGCAAGCAATGCTAAATTATATTCAGAATAAGGATTATTTGCTTTCAACAGGCTAGTTTTAACTTTTAAGGCATAATGAATTGCACATTTTCTCTTTCATGTGCTTATTAGCATAAGTAGTACAAAACTATAAACTACCTGTTGGCATCAAAATAATGAATAAAAATATAAAGTATGGCAGTTATTTAAAAGAAATTAATATTAAGGTTAAACTGTTGAAAACCCAATTCTTCTATGAAGATAAACTAGTGAGATGTTGGGAATAGCATCTATATGTGATTTATGGTGGGTAGTAGTAGTTTCTCAAAGTATTATCTCTCAAAATACAGGAGTAGAGAATATCATATCTAGGATTAATACTATTTGGGAGTCATTTGACACCAAAAGAGTGGTTACAAATTGCTATGTGAGTTTTTCTTATAAATCATAGATATAAATTCTCTATTCCTGTATTTGAAAAACTAGACAATAGCTTCTTAATTCTTGTTAAAAATTAGGAAAATGAATTATCTGAACTCTGAAGCTGAATTCAGTCTTTTTCTGTAGAACATTTATCAGAGTCTCCTGGTAGCCTCTCCTGTCAGGAGTACCAGAATAATCACAATGATGGCTGCATTCATCGGTCTTTCCATCCTAGAAGTGCAAAAGTAGAATTACCAGTTCGTGTAGATTTTGTTGGGGGTTGGAGCGATACCCCTCCATGGAGCATTGAGCGTGCTGGATGTGTTCTGAATATGGCAATAAGCTTGGAAGGTTCTCCTCCGATTGGCACCATCATAGAGACAACTAAAACAACAGGAGTATTAATTACTGATGACACAGACAACCAGTTATATATTGAAGATTATACATCTATTTGTGCACCATTTGACGGAGATGATCCATTTCGTTTGGTCAAATCTGCATTACTTGTGACTGGTATTATTCATGATAACTTACTTGTAGATATGGGCATGCACATCAAGACATGGGCCAATGTCCCCCGTGGTAGTGGATTGGGTACTTCTAGTATCTTAGCTGCTGCAGTAGTGAAAGGGCTTCTTCAGGTAATTGATGGGGATGACAGCACTGAGAATGTTGCTAGACTTGTTTTGGTGCTAGAACAACTCATGGGTACAGGAGGTGGCTGGCAGGACCAAATTGGGGGTTTGTACCCAGGGATTAAATGTACTTCAAGCTTTCCTGGAATTCCATTGCGGCTTCAAGTTGTCCCCCTGTTAGCTTCGCCTCAGTTGATTTCCGAGTTGCAGCAACGGCTTCTTGTGGTATTTACTGGTCAAGTAAGTATTAGTTTGTTTATATAAATATGCATTTTGTGTTCCTGCACAGAGAACTCTGCAATAAAGGAGAGAGACACTTTTTAGTGTTATTTGTCTTATTCAATTGCCTAAAATCTTGTAGTACGTTGATCTTGCAAATAATGATCTTTGAGTAACTGTTTTTCTGGTAGAAAGCTTTCGGTGTCAACATACTGTTAACATTATATGCATGTGAGTTTCCCTTTTTTTTGTTACATCAAATTTACTTCATAGATTAGAGAAATAAAGTTGTTACCTTGTGACCTAATGGTCATTGATTCTACTCATGGAAATAGCTTTTTTGCTCACAGAACTGGGTACATGTGACCCTCCCCAAAGCCCTCAATAGAGAGAGTGTTGAGATATATAGTCCCACATTGATTGGATGGGCAACTAATATGGCCTTTATAAGGCCTTGGACACTCCCACCCTTTGAGCTAGCTTTTGGGGTGGTGTATCTCAAGGTTCTTTACATGGTATCAAAGCCTCGCCGCTCCCCACTTTCTCTTGTGGCGTTTCTTAGCACAAGTTATTGGGTGAGGCTACATTAATGGTTTTATATATCTCAACACGCCCCCTCACACAAGAGCCCATTGGGCTTGAAGAGTGGACAATGCAACAGGCCTGGGCCTACCTGTGCGAAGAAAGAAATTCCACTTGAAAGAAAGTGGGGGGCGGTGAGGATCGAACCCGGGACACGAGGCTCTGATACCATGTAAAGAACCAATTCAACCCAAAAGCTTAAGTTATTGGGCTCTTGTGTGAGGGGGCGTGTTGAGATATATAGTCCCACATTGGTTGTATGTGCAACTAATGTGGAGTTTATAAGGCCTTGGACACTCCCACCCCTTGAGCTAGCTTTTGGGGTGGTGACCTCAAGGTTCTTAACATGGTATCAGAGTCTCACCGTCCCTCACTTTAAAGTGGAATTAAAATAAAAAAGCACAAAAAGGTAAACCAAAAATTGGGCCTATGCAATTCCACGCTTCTAGCCTAAAGGGCTCTTGCGTGAGGGGGCGTGTTGAGATATATAGTCCCACATTGATTGGATGGGCAACTAATATGGCCTTTATAAGGCCTTGGACACTCCCACCCTTTGAGCTAGCTTTTGGGGTGGTGTATCCCAAGGTTCTTTACAGAGAGCATCATAGTCTAGGCCACCCTTTTATCAAATTTATGGATTAAACTTCTGTGCTCTTTCCGTGTTGTGTACTAGCTTCCCAAGAATCCACCCGGCCCCCTTTTTTTTTCTCTGTTATTTGCTTTTGTTTAAAAACCTTTTTTTACCTGATGTACTGGAACAAAAAGCAGGAGTATTAGACAAGTAACAACAACAGTTTTCTAGACTAAAGTTTCAGGAGATGATATGTTATTTCTGTTTTATTTCATTTTGTCTTATCATTTTGTAGCTAATGCTCCACTTCAATTAATTCATCATCTTTTATAATTAACTTTGATTTTAATTGCATATTGAATTGTTTTGTAGGTTCGACTTGCAAATAAGGTGCTGCAAAAGGTGGTCATTAGATATCTCCGCCGGGATAACCTTCTCGTATCCAGTATCAAGCGCCTTGTTGAACTGGCAAAGGTTGGGAGAGAAGCTTTGATGAACTGTAACGTAGATGAACTTGGCGAGATAATGTTGGAGGCTTGGAGATTGCATCAGGAGCTTGACCCTTATTGCAGTAATGAGTCTGTTGACAAGTTATTTTCTTTTGCTAGTCCATACTGCTGTGGCTACAAGCTGGTTGGAGCTGGTGGTGGGGGCTTTGCTCTGTTACTTGCCAAAGACACACAGCGTGCCAAGGAACTGAGAAAGAAGCTAGAAGATGAGAAACATTTTGAAGTGAAAATCTATGATTGGCAGATATTTCTATAATATGGTATGAATACCAATTTCTTGTCATTATGAGTTGTATTATTGTTCATTAAATTTATTTTACTATTCTTTATTTGTATATTTAGTGTTCATAGGAATTCTTGGAATATCATTCAGGCGAGTTTCAGTCTGAAAAACACACAGAAATAGCTGCTTGAATTTTTGGTCATGACAAGGCCAATCATATGTTTGGTCTGATGACCTTTCGAAGTCATATTCTGACCTCTTGAATTTTCACATAGTAAAATTTGAAATGTATCCTCTTGATTATTTTGATTGCTCCTTTACGAGATAGATGCAAAAGCAAACATCTAATATCAATGATAAGCTAATTTATGTGCCAAGCTAATCAAACAATTTTGTTAGAGGCTAATGCTTACCCATTTTTATATTTAAAAAATAAATAAAAATAAAACAATGATAACTTGGACAAGCATGCTCGTGAAGGGTGCAAACTCGCATGAAATTTTGTTTCCTGGGAACTGGGAAGGAATAAGATTTACATGCTTGATCTTGATGAGATGAACGGTGAATGAAAGGTGATGTGCCTGTTGGGCACTCTTCAAAAAATCCATGGAAAATCGCACCTGAGATAAATTAATCACTAGCTATAATACTTATACGTTCTTATACATATCCATTAAAAATCATGATTTCTGCCACACATTAGATGCAAGAGAGAGTGATTTGTGATAATCGCTTTTAATTTTCCACATCTTATCCCTTTATATATATATATATATATATATATATATATATATATATATATATGATTATTTGCTTTTCAAAAGCGATGACGTGAAAAAGAAGGGTCCAATAAAGGATGAAAAGTGAGAAGACTAAATTATTGAAAGGGTATAACTTGTTAATGTGGCAAAGAATCCAAAGAAACTTCGTCCCCACTGCCAAAATAACCATTATATGTTCTTATAGTCTTTCCCGGGTCAACTGTGAGAAGAAGAGCCAAAGGGAAGTAGCGACTGGGTCATCATTATTAATCACCGTCCATTCATCCATCCATCAATCATGATTGATGATCATCGTCGCTATCAAGTGTGTGACATAGAAACAAAATTTTTAATAAAATTTATTTAGCAATTGGGTTGGTTGAAAGTCGTTGATCAGAAGAAGCTTTGGTAAGCTTAGCATGTATTGCCACGCTACAATGTTTGATTTTTAGTTAATTTTCATAGGATAAATAATAATAATAATAATAACAGTAAAGTATTCATCATGTTGATGAATAATGATGTATGTGGGGCCGAGTTCAATATAAGCAAAAGTCGCACTCTTTGGGTGTAGCAGAAGCTGACTGAGACTGAGACACACACACACACACACAGAGAAGAGAGAGAGAGAGATGGGTTTGCTTTCGAACAGAGTGGAGAGAGATGAGATCAAGCCTGGCGACCACATCTACACCTACAGAGCTGTTTTCACATACTCTCATCACGGTCTCCCTCTTTCTCCTCAAAATCAATTTTCATTTTTTTTTTAATTCAACATTTTTATTTTTTAACAATGTGGGTTCTGTTTTTATTTATTTATTTCCGCCATTGGGTTTTCTGTATCGCCTCCTGCATTTTTTTTTAATTTGTAATTTATTTGCAGAATTATGAAAAGTGGGTGGATTATGTTGTTGTTCAAGGATGCTCCCCCCTCTGCCACGGGGAAAGTATTTTTTTGTTTTGTCAATTCAATTTGGGTTTTCGTAATTTAATGAAAAATTGCTCTTTTTTTACTTTCGATTGATGGGTGTTGGAGAGGAATTCTTTTCTTTTTTCAACTTGTGTGTGAAAATGTGATATTTGCTGGGTCCCGTGAAGCTTTTGTTTCTCCAACTCGCCTTGTTGTCCTTGTGGTTTGATTTTGGTTTTCTTATCTTCCTTGTAATTTTCCTTTACCTGCTAGTATATGGATTCTAATTCTTTATTTATTTATAAATATATAAAATGTATATCCTGCTAACATTGGCACAATAAAGATCTTGAGCTAAGCTTTATGTTTAGAGGCATTGCAGTTATTATGTAACTTTTCGTATGATGTCATTCGGGTTTTGGAGCAGAATATATTTGGGATTGGGTATATCATATGACCAAATTTATGAGCAATTAATCATTGTTGGACTGGGAGTTGTCTACGATTCAATTGATTAGGTTTTAAGCATTCTCTGTACTTAATTGCAATTTTCTGCTTAGTTCTAACTTCTCAGCAGAAGTGGCATGTAAGGAAATAAAGTAATTTTTGTTCTCTTTTTCTTTGTTGAAGTGAGGGGAAGCAACTGCTCAAGTAAATCAAGATTGATTGTTTGAACACATATGATCGATGAGATTTGACTATGCATGAAATGATCATTTGTAGATATTCATACTGACTGACTGATTAATTTCTGAAGGAAGTCATCTAATCCAGATTCCACTTTAATTTTTCTAATTTTATTCCTTTGGGACAAACGCCCTTCCTGGAGCTATAAAAGTAACAATACTAATTTACGTAATCATCCTTGCAAATTCTATAAATAGATATAGTTCAATGAAACCATATAGTGGTTTTCGACAATGAACTTATGTTTCAGGGGCCATGACTCTGAAATTTGAAGTGTAATGATTGAGGCATGACGGCATTATAAGTATATGCATTTAGTTGTCTTTTTTCCCTCAGTTTCTTAACGTTGTTGGTTGTTGGTGGGTTAGCCCTGTCCATCATTGTGGTCATTTTTTTATATACCAATAGCTGTTGCAAATAGAAGTTGTAGTGGCTATCAATCTGTTAGCAGGGTATAAAAGAAAATCTTCTTTGTCTGATGGATGCTTGGATTCATTGTGAAATTCTTTAGTATTTATCTGTTCAAATGTGGATTCTTTTAGTATATTATTGGTAAAGGTTTTAGCTACATTTAGGACCTTATTCTATGTATTCATTATTTTGTCTCTTTTCATAGATTTACGCCGCTTATTTTTAAGCTTTCAAGCTAGATGATGCAGCTGAATAACTAGGGAATCTATTTTGCCATGAAGATGATTACAAATCATTAATTTTGCTGCTTTAGGAAATTCATACCAAATCACTATATAATGAACCATGCCAATTATATCAGCCATCTAATCTTTTAATGTTAGTGTTAGCTGTTCTCCCATCTCAAATTCCTAAGGCTTCGTGTAAATGGTCATGCATATAGCTACTACACAATGAAAGAATGACTCACTGGAAAGAGAGCTGTCCTGTTCTTTCTTACTCACTGATAACAACCAGCCTCATTGTGGGCAATTCACCATTCTGTTTGCATCATTTGTAACACATTTCATTATTTATACTGTCTCGGTTTATACTGCATTAATTATATTTTAGCTTTCCGTAGCTTAAATTCCTGAGACCTCCCTGCTGCTTTCTAGTCCTTACAGCCATGGGGAAGATGCAAATGTTATTCCACCATCACCTGATGTAAGATGACATTGTTTTGTAATATCAGCCTTTTCTGCAAAAGTTTGCCACATATTCGAGTTCATATGGGCATGATCTAAAATGTCTAACTAAATTTAGAATGGCCTTAGAAAATCTTGTATGTTGAATCATGCTTAAATCTAAGTTAGACTGAATCTAAAACCATGCAGGCATTTTTGTTGGGGGAAGCAAGGTTGTACATTTCATACCTGAGAGAAAATTAAAGTCAATCACAGAGACATCTTCGAACTTGGATGATCCGACATCAAGCCCATGTCCAATCTTTCCTGATTGTGGATTCAGGCAGCCAGATAGTGGTGTAGTTCTTTCTTGCTTAGACTGCTTCCTTCGAAAGGGGTCTCTCTACTGTTTTGAGTATGGGGTTTCACCATCAGTTTTTCTTACCAGAATAAGAGGTGGTACATGCACTACCGCATTATCTGACCCACCAGAGACTGTTATCCATCGAGCAATGTATCTTCTTCAAAATGGCTTCGGTAACTATGATGTTTTTCAAAACAATTGTGAGGATTTTGCCTTGTACTGCAAAACTGGTCTTCTGATAATGGACGAGAATGGGGTTGGAAGAAGTGGTCAGGCTTCTTCTGTTGTTGGTGCTCCATTGGCTGCAATGCTTTCTTCTCCATTGAAGTTGTTGATGCCAAGTCCTGTTGGTGTGGCTACTGTAACAGCAGGAATGTACTGCATGAGCAGGTATGCAACTGATATAGGTGTCAGAAGTGATGTCATCAAGGTTGGAGTGGAAGACTTGGCTGTGAACCTTGGATGGACTTGTCCTAACGAGGAGGTACCTGAAGATGAAACTTCACACAGACAGATTACCAGATAATTTAGCATTCATCCTTATGCACATGAGACTGCTGCATGTGTCATTGTTAGTTGATCGCAGATGTGGCCTTCATCATTCTTAGATCTTCTGGACTAGTACTATGTAAGACTCAATGGGTTTCTTTCTTCTTCTTTTTGTTTCCTTGCCATAATTGGTGCATGTCTAGTTATTCAAGTTGTGCAAGGGATGGAATGACAATAATATTTGTAGTATTTACTAATAAAGTATCATCTGGTGTTTTCCTTTGAGATAATTTTCCTTTTGAATTCCCTGAACGCAACATTCTACCTTCAATAGTGATTGAACCATTTTTCTGTACAGCATACAAAATCACGTTGACTTATATGTTTGCTATTTTTTAATCATGTTTGGGTACATTATTAAAAGTGTTTTGTCGATAATAAAGATGTTAATTATTTTCTGTGATATGGGAACACGTTTATTTTATGGACAATTAATCGTGTTTTATTTGTAATCCAGTACTTCGAAGTGTTTGTAAATGTATGGATTGGTTATATTTCCGTTGAAGTCAGCACATGTTGACTTCACTAAAAACTGAATAAATTAGGAACACAAACAAGCGAACGATAGCTATCGTTACTTATTGGCGCTTTACATCTATCTTTTTAAAAAAAAAAAAAAAAAAAAAAATTGATAAAATAAAATTTTATCTAATCTGGAAAACGGTGGAATCAATTGTTCAGTTAAATTGGCTGGGATTATGGTGCAAATGTTGTATGGTTTATTAAAATTTTAAGACAGTAATATCATGTTAAAATAAAAAGATGATTTTTAAGCAATGCTTTTAATTTTGAAACTGTTCGCCATCCCAGAACGATTGAAGGTGAACGTATTTTATTTCTTATGTTAAAGCTAGTACATAGACGTGAATATTATAGAATTCACTTGATAAAATGATTCGTAACTTAAAAAAAAGTCTTAAGGCAATTCTTAAAAGTTAAAACTTAGATTAAAATATATTTTAATTTTGTTCTTATAGAAAAAATAATTTAATTCATATACATAATTGTTTGTAATTTGATTCTCATCGTTTATTGTTATTATCCATTGGAACTATAACACAGCGAAGTATAATAATTAAATTTAAAATAAAAGTCACATAGGATTTGGAAACATAATTTCATTTGATTTCTATATTACATAATAATTTTATGTTATAATGAGAATACTAATTATGTTTGTAGGAAAAAATGTTTGTCCTATTAAATAACACAACTTGTCATTTCACTCTCACAAAGAAGTGGAATCCACACTTTTATTTTTTCTGTCCACTCTCTCTTCTCAATAATTTATCTATTTCTCTCCCTTAAAATCACAACTTTACATCTCTTTAAATGACACACGTTTTTTTCATATAGGTAATACTTAAATTAGATAGATAATTTAGGGCTTCTTTTTTTTCACGTCACATTAGGTAACATCTCTGGTGCTATAGACATAACAAATGGTGTGATCCACCACTTGTTAAACAAAAATCAAAAACGATAACACGAATTTTGTTATCTTATCACGTAAGAAAGTTATCTCTTATTGCACGAGGAAATAATTTTTCATAATTTAAAATAGATAATCCGTAAATTTGAATAGGGCAGCGTAGGGATGTGTCAACTGTACCTGGAAGCGGCGCTGCCGGTGGATGTGAACAAGAACCCGGAGTGGTTCACTTACCTACATTCTCATTCGCATCCTCTTCTTCTTCTGGCTACTTTTCCTATTCCTCTTGTACTTTGATTAGTGCCTTGGAACTGGAATTTGAGCCTGCGTTGACATTGGACTATTAAATAGTGCACATTTTAAAAAGAATTGCATATCATGCATATTTCATACAAAAATGAAAGAATAATATTGTTTGGTACGTAATTGTAAGTTGCATATTATATCATACAAAAACGGGATGGCAAAATTGGAACATACATAGATATGCAAAAGAAAAAAGATAAAACTAACTGTAATTAAATTGTATAAATTATATAAATATGAAGTAACGCATGTATAATATTAGTCAATTTAAATGTATAGTACTTGCACGTACGGAAGGTGAAACTCACAAAAACAGAGATGTGTCATCTGATAAAAGTAAAGAAAAGAGAGAAAGGCGGGAAAAAAGAATGGTATCGTTAATTCATGAATATAAATTACACTCTTTTACTTTTGGTTTATTAAAATAAAAATTTTAAATTTGATCATAAATTACAGTTTACCTTATTGTTTGTCTTTTAATTAAATATTGACTTAGCACTATTAAATACTTTAAAATAGGAAGGTTATATTATTCATTTGTAGTAGTTAAAATAACATATATATATATATATATATATATATATATATGGGTTTTATAATTCTCATGTTGAAGGAGAATTAAAATCTCATGTTGTAAAGATAAAAAGCATATGAGACTCATGTATTAGAAAAAATTATATATAGGACCCATGTCAGCATGGAAATCGAAGGGTGTGTAGAAAAATTATAATTTTCATGTTAAATGAGAATTATAAAACTATATATATATATATATATATATATATATATATATATATATATATATATAAAGGGTATATACTTCTTATGCAATATAAGAATATTCGTTTTTAAATAAGCATGTAATTCAATAAGAAATTTTCTTACCTGTCCAATTTTAATGAATCAAGATAACCATTCGATCCAATATCTCTTCATGCTACACTCACACCCTTTTGCGTGCTAATATATATATATATATTTCTTCAGCTACTTTAAATAAGTTTATCTTCAGTCGCCCCCTTATAACTATATATATATATATATATATATATATATATATATATATATATATATTAGAAAAACCTATGAGTTGCATATCATATAGTCAAATTAAAAAGGAAAAAAAATAGGAATATGGGATGGGATGGGATAATTTTAATTCATTTTAAATAATTAAAAAAAAAACTGAAATCCTTTTATTATATTTATTTCTATTTGATCCATTATTATATTTGTAACCAAACATACCCTTGTTTTAACTCCCTTTACACATTAGGGGTGTCAAAACGGGTTGACACGACACGAATACATCAACACTAACACGACACGAATTTTTATTCGTATCAAAATCTTCAACACTGACACTACACGAATTTTTTGCGGGTTGACACGACACAAATAACATGCAAAATAGAAGTTAAAATAGTAATTGACAAAAAAATGATTGAAATTAAAAAAAATTAAAATAATAATAAAAAATTAAAAATAAAATAATTTTAAAAAATTACGGGTCGACACGAACACGACACGACACGAATTTTTTACGTGTCATTTTTTCCAACACGAACACGACACGAATTTTTTTGCAGATCAATCAAAACACGAATTTTCGTGTCGTTTCGTGGGTCGACCCACGTGTCAAAACCTATATTGACACCCCTATTACACATTATAGCCATCTCCAAGCTGAAAGTACCTTGGTAATGAGGCTCGGAGCTTTGTTCCTCCCGCTTTTACCATTTGCTATATGATGCTGTGAGGGTTTCTTTTTCGAGATATATATATTTGGTACGTATACCAACTTTAAAAGTGAATCGGCTCTCAATATCCCAACAAGCTTAAGATCTTTGAGCTGACTACGAGACTAATCCTTAATCGAGGTTTAGTCACATTTAAAGCTCCTTAATCGCCCCTCCTCAAAAATATATTTAGTTAGAATCTAACTCAAGTTCTCTTCCCACTCTACTCAACTTGTGTTGCCAATTGAGCTATATTTCTTGAATTCTTTTTCGAGACATTCTAGTCCTTTATTCTCTTTGTTTGTTGGGCGTTTATCGCCAGAATCCTGGTACACAAGTGAGAAATTAATTATATACTACCAAATTTTAACCGTTGATTTCCGCCAATCTAACAGTTATAATTTATTCGGTCACATTTATTAATTAGTTACTACCTTTATTCGGTTATAAAGAGAAATGTTATAGTTACTATTTTTTTTCTTACTTGTTACTACCAAATCTTAACTGTTTATTTTCGCCAATCTATTGATTATAACCGTTAGATTGACGAAAAACAACGGTTCAGATTTTATAATAACAAGTAATAAGAAAAAAAGGTAATAACTATAATCTCTCTCATAAAAGTATTACGAAAATATTCTGAAAATATTTTCCACAAACGCGCTCACCTTTGAAAAGGAGATTAACTATTAGTTTTAGGAAAATGATACATGTAACAAATTATACAGTTCTAAAATATGTTAACGATGTGGAAAGAACATTTTGATTTTCAAAGATATTCATTCATACCCCCTAAGGAAAAGAAAATGCTAATTAGGAGACTAGGGCAACACAAAAGAAAGAAAAGGTGTTTTGTCTGCCAATTGAACTTACTCGAAGTGAAAAATACAAAGATAATGGCAACAAAATAATAGTTAATTAATCGTCGACATGTGAAGGCATTGACCTGGCCAGGTGAAGAAGGAAAGGAAATGCTTTCCACTTTGCCAAGGGAATGTTTGTGGGGTCCCACTAAAATGGGGAAAGAAGGTGGGGTATTCAGAATTTTTTGTAATCTTTGCACATAATTAAATGTATAGAGGGTGATGGATGATGACGTAGGAAATCATCACTCGTGGAATTGAGGATATGTAACGACGAGTCCTCCTATTAAAATAAACAGCAAGTGGGTGACCATTGTATTAGGTTAGTGTTTGGTTGGGGGCAGGTAATCCAGTTTTCAAGATTTGCCCAATTTGTTAAAATATGTATATGACAGCTTGCTGTTCAAATACATGCTCTTATTAACATTATGGTTTACTATTCTAGCTTGCATTACAATTTACAAGTGTGTGTGACGTACGTCCTCCTCAGCCTTGTTTCTCCTTTTTCAGTTATATATCTTTTTCCTATTATTCTTCCCAATAATTCCACCAAGTGCTTTCATAGTTGGAAGAATCTCGGGTGTGATAATATAGATATCAATCAAAGCTGACACAACCCACTAATTTTTGCACAGACACATACATAGAAAGGAAAGGAAAGAGCACAAATTAAGCACCCAACCAATATATATATATTTGAGTCTTTCCTTAACATTAAAAGTCATTTGGACCAAATCTTTGAAAGCATACATCAATAAAGGTGATCGATCTACTTCTGACAGAAGTATTCATGAATACAGGTTGCATGACTTTGGGCAAAAGCAGGCCCTATATTCACCTCTTCATCTATCTCTAAATACAAAAACAACCAAGATGAGTTGTAAAATCCTTACATTGCTCCAATAGCAAATGTAGTGTATGCAAAACCAAAGTAACCATATGTATCCTATTGTTAGTTCTTAAAAACTTCAAACAAATTATAATGACCCATTTAAAAGGATAAAAATAGGGTAGATAAAGAAAATTAATAATGCAGGTTCTCAATTTCCTTGTTCTCCAATTACGTACTTTACTTTATTTCCTTACCATGATGACCCTCCATTAATCATTCCAGTCCAATATCCAGTTGAATTTCCTTGTTCTTTATTGTGTTCCACTTCAACACCTGCAGAAAGCTGCTTCATGTCTCCAAAAGGGAACAAAACCCTCCCACCATTCTCTTGTACCCCATATGATCCATTTCCAAGCCCATCAATTGAAAAACCAAGGTTTGGTTTAATTTCTTGCATGGGAAACCCAGATGGGTAAATAGCATTATTTGAACTTGACATCAAGGAATTAGGAAAATAAGGATTCAAACCCCTAGAACTAGAAGCCATGTTAGACTGAAGTATCTCAACTGCTGAGAGAGAAGTAGGAACAGAAGAAGAGCTATGGTCAAGTTTGGGCATCTCAACATATTGAGACATGCCATGATACTTCTCCATATCTGGGAAAGCCAAATTAAGATCGTGGCCTCTTTGCATTTTAGGGTTTTGGGAACAAATAGTTGAGACTGAGAGGCTTGGTGGATTTAAGTCTGGAACCTTTGGTGAAGCTGTTGACAATGATGATGATGATGATGATGAAGTCATGATGACCTTCTTGTTCTTCCTGGAACCACCTCCAACGGGAACGTTTCTGAGAGACCCACCTTCAGTCCAATACCTTCTGCAAGTCTTGCAGAAATATCTAGGTTGTGTGAGGCTATAGTTGTTGTAATAACAGAACTTGGTGTTGGTTGAATTGCACCTTGGACAGTTCAATTGTTCTTGTGGTCTGGCCTTTTTCTCTAACACTGAATTGAGACCTATCCCTTCCATGGCTCTCACAGGTCCAACCTCCTCCTAATTAGAAAACCCAAAAGAGATAGAGAGGAAAGCAATAATTACATAATTGTTCATATGTGACAAGAACCTGAGCCGGTAATTTCAAGTTTACATAAGTCAAAAAACAAGGTAGCTAAAATAACAAACACTCCTTCTTTTTATGCTTTTCGACAACAATTATCACATGAGCAAAAAGGTAAAGAAGAGGAAAAGTAAAAGCAGTAGCAGTGCTTTTGTATTTAGGATCTGATCATAACTTTTATTGGTAGAAAAAAAGAGAAGATAGAGAACATCATCTCCTTGATATAGCTAGAAGATTAAAAAGATACAAATAATTCTTAAATCTAGTGGAACTTCATATTTATGTCAGCTTTAATTTAAACAAGCCAAAACTCAGAACAAATAGCTCGGAATTTTTGCATCAAGGAAAAGACATAAGAAAAAATCGAACCCCACCTTTGGCAACTGAGTGGCAGCCATGAATTCAGACAAGAAAAGAAAGAGAAAAGCAACGGATGACTTCAGAGAGAGAGAGAGAGAGAACTCACCTTGTTTGTCTGCAGCTGCTCCTTAGTGCAAGAAAGAATGTTTTAGTTCGTTTGTGGAGTGGCTTTATCTGTTGGCTTACTTTATGAACGATGCAAAGGAAAAAGAAAGAGAAAGTTAGAGAAGAGAAATGTATCTGTTTTGACTATACTTGCAATATCTCTTCATTAAGTATGTTTTAGCCTTTATGTTATTTTTGTTTGAGTTAACTCAATCTTAATTATTTTGAGGTGAGTTGGTTTTTTTTGATATCCTCGTAAGCTTTAATTTTTTGAGTTAGCTATTAGATTATTCGGAACGGGGACGAGTCAAAGATAAAGATATTTAAAACCTCTCAAAAGTGATATATATCGAACCGAGACCCTTTCATTTTCAATTAGTCAGCTTCTTTGCTACAAATTCATCCAAACGGCCCTTAATTTATTTTACTTATCGTTTTGGTCTGCTTTTATTTTGTGTGGTGGAATTAATAATGAGTATATGTACTATGGACTTGGGGTGGCTTTTCTTTTTTTAATGATATAGACTCTTTGCTAATGTTTCACTTGTCAAACCTTCTTTTTCTCTAATCAAGGACAATCAATTATGAGAAATTATTCTTTACGTTTATGAAAGAGGTTGTATTTGAATGGTTTGATTCTTGCCTTTAACCGTATGCTTTTGCTGCAAAAAAATATTTCCCCATGTTTTTTAGCAGTTACATATACTAGCTAGGGTTTGCTTACAAAGTAATCAAACACATTCAATTCTCTTCTATAATGATTCGTCTCCTTCATTTTTCTTATATTTGTGCTATACCTTGTAAACAGTTTGTGTTAAGAGAAATTTCCAAATGCTTTGATGGTGACTGACCAGATGACTTCTCAACCTGGGCATGCAGCTAAAATGTGCTGAAACCATAATTGATAGCTCAAATTAACCACCAGTTAAGCATTAGGGTGGCCATAATTAACAACCTTGCTAGAAGAGTGAAACACTTGATGTAATTTATTATTTATTAAATATAATCTTTTTCAAGGGAAAGGATATTGTAACAACTAAGTTGTGTTACTATCAAGTTACTACCAATCAATCTCACCGTTAGATTGATTATGTTGATCCAACGGTTATATTTATTTTCATCTTTGTATGATCATGATTTTCCAAATTTAATACTTTATATTTATTTTCACCTTTATATGGTTATGATTTTCCATATTTAATGCTTTCACTTTAAATATGGGGAATGATAACCATACAAAGATGGAAATAAATATAACCGTTGGATCAACATAATCGATCTAACGGTGAGATTAATTGGAAGTAACATGGTAATAACACAACTTAGTTGTTACAATATCCTTCTCCTTTTTCAATTTTATACTTAACTCTAATATTTACCTAATCCCCCTGTTTTTTCCAGGAAAAGATCAAACCAGCAAAGGACGTATTTGAGAAAACGTCGTTTTAAATGAATAAATGGGTGACTGATCACAGAATATGATACACAGTCTATTTTGTCTCCAAATTTAAGGTTATCATGTCATCACGTCATTGGTTGAGTGAAAACATGACAGTCTGCAAAATTATATAGTGAATTCTTTTGGAGAAATAAATCTTTTTGTCTGCACTCTCTCTATACACTTTTATTAAAGTATTTTGTTTCTTAGAGATAAATTTATGTCTTATGTACATAAAAATAGGTGGAATATATTTTTTTCTTCTCTTCTCTTTGTATGGGATTTATTTATTTTAGGAGATAGAATTATCTCTTATAATTTGAGAAATACTAATCGCTTTATTAAAAAGCATAAATTTTTTGTTAATTGTAATAACTTTTGATAAAGACAATGGAGAGGAGAGACACTGATGGAATTTGTGTATATTATTCGGCGAAACTATTTTTTTTTATTCCATAACTCTAATTATTATTTTTGGACAAAAACTCGTATAAATATAAAATTAATCATGAGTCGAGTAATGTAACTTATTCAACTCTAAATTTATGTACTCATTTAAAAAAAAAAAAACACAACTTTGGCATTTAACCAGTATCGCTAGTAGTTGTTTATACGCATCCATAGTTGAATATGCTTGTATGCTCCAGCTAAAAAGATGTACCACCCATTCTTTAGACTCTTCTGGTACCTAAGATTAAACATAACATCAAATTAGGTCATAATAATAAGTTGATTTATTTTAAACAAGTATTATTAGATACTATTGTTCTGGGTATTTTTTATGCTCTTATATTAAGAATATTACATTAAGGATTTTAAATTCAAATCTTATTGATATGCGAGGTGGAAATTTATAGAAAATAATTAATAGTCGCCTATTTTACGTTATATCTTTATTACCAAGTTTCTTGGCCTAATATGTAGTATTTTTTTAAGGCTTTAATGTTTCTACGGTGAATATAGATCGATATGCCATCTACATTCGCTTTCAAAACCACGTCGTTTTGGGTTGAAAAATTAAAAAATTATAATAAAAAAAACTATTATAATCCTAAAATAAATTATAATTACAAAAATACCTTAATTTCTGTCTCGAAACGACATCGTTTTGGGCTCAATGTAGATAAGTTATCTACATATACTGTAGAAAAAAACAAACCTTTTTTTAATTATGAAACCTAGTATATCTACTGAAATTAATTTCTCTAAGGGCATGTTTGGCACCTCTCTTTCTTAAGCTAAAAGCTACTTTAAGCTAAAGTTTAAAAAAAATTAAAAATAAAGCTAAAAGATGTTTGGTGATTATATAAAGTTCTTCCGATAGTTTTGAAGGAAAAAATATAAAACAATTTACTATTAGGATGGATTATTAGGGTAAAAGATAAAATTTATAAATAAAAATTTAAAATAAGGGTAAAACTGTAAAATAAATATGAGGAGTCAAAAAAAGCTGGCATGACCTGTAAAGAGTCAACCAGTTTTTCTCTATATAGGTCTGTTACGATCTGATAGATCGATATGTCCAATCAGAGATTGATATGTTAATAAGGGATCTGTTTGTCCTCCCTCAGGTACCTATAGAGAAGGTACCCTAGAGATCAGCGGATCATTGTGCACAATAATATATACGACATAGTTAAGGCGTGGGGTGTGTGCACAGTGACAAGCTAAGAGAGAGGGTTTAGAGAGTGTGTACCTTATTGGTTTAACCCCTTATTTATAGATGAGTTACCTGGCAGAAGTGGACTTTTGGGTCTCTCAGGAGCATTTGGGATCCAATTGTTGATCCATTGCAGCCGTAGTAGGATTAGCATAATTAAGGAATATTTCCTTAATTCCCTCTTAGTTGTTAGCCCTATTTGGACCTTCTAGAATATAGGTCTTTGTCATGTCCATAACAAGGTCAATGTCTTATGTCTCCTATTCGCTTTTGTTTAAGGTTCGGCGAGTATTTTTTTAAAGGATATAAATTATGTTTTCTTAACGGTTTTAATTATATATATTTGAAAATATATAATTATAATATTAAAATTGTATTTTTTTTTTCTCTTCATAAATTATGTGCTGACGTAAATCGTAAAAAAAATATAACTTTAATATTATAATTACGTATTTTCAGAAATACATAATTAAAAATTAATAAAATAACAATTTATATTATTTAAAAGGACGCTCTTTTTTCCCTTTCTTTTAATTACTGACTTGAGCGATTTTGCAAATGCACTACCGTCTTTCTGGCTACCACCATGAACCAGGAAGAAGTTCATAAACAATACCGTCCAATTTACTAACAAAAGAACTTATTAATAATTTTGCATCCTAAAATCAGCTACAACGTTGTTTTATGAGTCATGATTGTGTTTCTTCGTAATCCATGGGGGGATAGCATTATTGTGACAGGGATAATACCAAAACAAAAGGTATGGGAAAAGATGGGTGAACTTTTCAATAGAAATAGTGGCAGTGATAATAGCCGACAAGAGACGACAAAAAGAGGCCACAGTGGATCCTAAATACTGTGCGATGGGATTGGAAAAAACAAAACAAAATAAAAAATCCTTCAATTTTTAATCAACCAACTATTAATTATGCAATTAATTATTTAAATCAAAAAAATTATTAAACAAATTATACAAATATAATATCTGAGTTATGATGGGTGGAAGGTGGGTGTCAATTCACACTCTCGCTTTCTCTCACCCCTTTTGGTTGTGAACTTGTGATGGCGACAGCAATTGGTTTAAAAAATCTTCCCAATAATGCCAAAAAATGTCCACAGAATCTCACTCACCATTTCGGTGTGGATTGGTGTACTTTTTTTTTTTTTTTTTTTTTTTTGATCTTTTGGTAATAGAATTGATACCTCTTTCTTGGAATATCTAACTCGCTCATTCGCTCAACCTCAGCTTTTAACATTACTCCATCGTTTCGCTTATAATCCGTTTGAAGTCATAATTTTTCTTTAATTAATTTTTTTTAGTAACACTTCTTTAATTATTATTATAAGGAATTTAAGTCTCCTTGGGTTCTGTTCCATTTTATTAGCAGTCAGCCACGTCAACAAATATATGATATTTTATTTAATTTCTGATAGTTTTTCCTCTTCTTCATCGGTATACACAGACGATAATATAAAAAAAAAAATTAAAAATTACAAATAAAGGAAAGTGAAAAAAAATAATCTTTAAAAAAAAAAAAAAGTGGCATCGAACGAAGGTAATCTTTGACTGATAAAATGATATTAATCTTATTCTTCTTTTGTGACAAAATTTAATAGAGCCATCATTTTAACGAGGGATAACTCTCGGGGTCGCACTTTGAGACAAATTAATCGGAGGTGGCTGAATAAAAATACTTTCAGATTATATAAATATCTATATATATATATATATATATATATATATATATATATATATATATATATATATTAGATGCAGGTGATCCGTAAAAATGCTATTAAATAAATAAATATTATAAATTTAAAAAAACTTTTAAAAATATTATTTTTTACCGAAATACTTATAGAAATCTTTTAGAACTTAAATTGCCTATATTTTTTGGATAAAAAATAATATTTAAAAAAGACTCAAGACCCTTAACAAGTTTTAAAAAAATTAACTGTAATGTTTCTAGTACTATATTTATCATACACACAATATAAATTTTGTTGTATTATTATATAACAACTTAAACTATTTTACC